ATATATATTGATTTCGCGTTCTTTTTTCCTAGAGGAACCTAATATTCTACGACTCTGACTGTTCATTGCTACGAATCAAGGCTTTTGGAGGAAGCTTATTAATTACTGATTTCCATTCATCTAGTATTTAAAACCTAAAATTATCAGCGCACTATAATAAAAACAACGACGGTCTTGTAAAATAAATCGTCAAATCAAGTTCAAACGAGTATGGCGTCGATATCATTGTAACACGTCCAATTCACGATGCTGGCAGTTCACTTGTACTTGATTGAAATACAATATATAGAGTCAGATGTCTCAGAGACATTTTACACGCACGATTCAAAAATAAGTGATTTGAACCGCCATAACGTGACCTGCTTGTCTCGTCAAACGGCATCCCTTTGTCGAGTCAAAAATAGCTATAGCAAACAGTTGTATCATGCGCGGATTTTTCGTCATTCTAGGTATGATTTTGCTTATTATCAATTGAATGTGACAGCGCTAAAAAGAAAGACGACGTGCCGGCAGGTGGTGATGGACCGTGTTGTCCTGCATCTCTCGGCCCGTCTAGAAGGCTTGCAGGCGGACACTTTTGAACTTAGTCAACAATACCAAGAAACAGCTAAAGAAAAGGAAAAGCTTCTCATGGATATTGAAGCGGTGCAAACGTTTTTAGAGCATTTAATTCAGCATTGGCGGGTAGAGTATTCATACGGCGGTTATTCACTGTCTCCACCATTTTATTTGCAACCTTATTAACTTCGGAGACATTTTATTTTGCACAGGAGAATTAAGTTGATAAAGGAAATGTTTCGGTAACGACTTACAAAAATGCGACAATTCTGCTATAGCAACTGAGCTCTGTGAAAACACGCGTATTGTGACACTGGACGCCTTATCTTTCTCATTCCTATTCGGCTGAACGTAGGTGAATGAGATTCCTTTTCGTCCAAGCGAGCTTTCTGCGGACCTAAATAGTACTGGTTCAGGGATCCATGTTCGTGGTAATGGCAAGAAAAGGCCGGAAATAATAGATGAAATTCAATCAGCAGTGGCTCGTATCCGAGATGTTAATAACCAGATAGACACTGAACGAAGGCTCGTGAAAAAAGCCAATATAAGGTTGAATGCAGAGAAGCTACTGCGAATACGGGAACTTGTTTCGAAACGTACCCAACGCCAAGTACAAATGGAAAATCAGGCTATGCAAAAACAGATTCAGAATGGTAAATTTGATCACCTGGACATTCAGGTAAGCCTTTGGTATATTTTTGCTCATTTTTTGTCACCTAATAATAACTAATGGAATATTTAGTTGACTCTCACAAGGTTTTGGGGACAGCTCTCCATTCCTCGATCTATACAAGAATAGGGTAAAGACAAAAATTTAGAAAATAATTAGCCGACAGCTGTCAGTAAACAGACTCACATTTGAGTTGGGGCCGGTATTGACTGGAAGCCCACCTTATATTTTCAATCGGAAGCCTGGACTTTGCCATCTCGACACTTACTTCTTTCATCACTCTAAATCTTTCATTTTTCCCCAGTCTGTTTAATACATCAAACGAATGCCACTTGAGTACGTAAATCCTGTCTATAGGCAAGTTACCCTGTCTTCTTACACAAGCAATGCCCCAGTTAGTCTGTGCCCGTTTTACCTTCGTCTAGTATATTGAACGCATTTTCAAACAAACGATTAAATGTTTTTGCTTGTTTGTAGAATCTATATAATGACATCGAAAAGACACAAATCGAACTGAACAACTTTGAGTATAAAGAGTTCAAGAGAGTTAGTGAACTTCAGCGGCGCAGAAAGAGAAATGTACAAAAGATGATTATCGAGTTGAACAGAGTAAAGCTTCACACAATTTGATCGCTGTTTCCGAAGAGAGCAACAGTCAGCGGGTTCGAGGCTAGGAGTGGTTTAGTCTACTATCGTCATGAAATGGTAATAAAAATAAAAGCAAATGATTATTGTTTACATTGCATCTTTATTTTAACATCTGTACAGCTTCTATTATAAACTGCACTTATAATTAACTATCTATATTCGAAACATTTAGTCAATCTATAAGTACCTGTGTTGCAAGAAATAAATGCATAATGAAAGCTCGTAGGATTTCAGAAACCAGCGGAGAGTAGAAACGATATGAATAGAAAAACAGGTCTTGGCATTTCGTCATCAAAATCTTGTAAAAACTCAACAACGGTTTTCTTTGAGAAATAAAGCGCGTAGGTAGGCGAAAAATAGAACTGAAGATAATGGTATTTTTTTAGTTTGTATTGGGTCCCTAACGAAATAAAAGCTAAGGATCGAGTGTGACAAGTGAAAAGTAGAAGGTCTACCAGGACCGGTCATCAAGAGAAGATGGATACTAGAGTAACTTGGGTTGCTCGATGTCTTCTTTAATAGTAATGGAATCAAAACTTAAGAATTTATGTAGCTGTAGTTGAATTCTGACAGTGATTACCTCATTGTATAGGCTTTTTCTAGATTAAATGAAACAGATAATGAGTAAGGAAGGTTATATTGTAACTGACATCTTATAAGGAAAAGGCAAGCTAGACCCGTATTTTTTTTTAATTCTTTTTCTGTAATTTCTTTCTAAGAGAAAGACAGATGTGCACGGAAGTAGTTGATGTACCAGTGTATTGCGACTCTAATCAAAAACTCGAAAAAAGAAAGGAAATCTCGAATCTGCATTAGGCTTGCAACCTTATCTACTGTTGCCTATCGTTGTACAAGGTTCGTCCAACCTCGGGATATTTAATGCTTGCATGGTCGAGGTTCAAAATGTTTTGTGAACAGGTAAAAGGTTATGTGTTGTCCATAAAAAGTTTGTTCATTTTCTATAGATCACTTAAATAGCTTGCAGACAGAATGCATGATTTCTTTTATCTTCATACGTTTCGGAACCGGCTCACTCCACTTAATCTAATGGATACGAAATGTGTTGCCGCAGAGTGCACTGACACAGAATCATGGTCGATAAGTAGCTTAGGGATTCCATTCTATATGCTGTACTAATGCCTTTTCAAGCAGAAACGCTCGTCAATTTTATAACACGAAAAATCCCACATTAAAAATAAATTATAATGCTTTTGATTTTTATTTAAGTATGTGTGGTTTCCATTAACCGCGCTATTCAATCAGTATTTTTTATTCCGCCTAGTGACATTCACCATTACGCTGAAGGACCTGCATTTTTACGAACATAGTCAGATCTTAGTATAAGTAGTTTAAGTAATGATTTTTGAATTTACGCGCGGTTCTCCTGCACGAAGCAACGTACGTTTATGCCCGGTTTCGGGTCTGAACAAACGTACGTGCCCTTCATTCAGTAGGCAAACACTTCACCACTACGCGATCGCTGGGACATGGTTGGTTATTACCGTGCGCCTGCTTTCCCGCGTTTTTGCCCCCTCACCTGCTTTCCTGCGGCTATTCGTCGGAGAGATAAGTCGTGCTGTTCAGCACATTAAAAACGTAGACCGCCGTTTAGTTAATATTTGGAAGTAGGTATTGGGTACACCAATGGAATAAACAGACGGCGATCTCTACATATATGACGACAATGCGGCGTTGAGCTTAGTGTGTACGTGCGTGCACTGCTTTGTAACCTCTCAAAGGTTCCTGGAAGAAGGCTTCGATGTTTTATTAACCGTCGCGAGATTGTACGCTCTCTGTGCGCTTAGGAAACGTTATCCTGAGCTCTGGGTCAGCCCGAGTGTCGAAGCACAGTGTACAACTGGTGAAGTGAAGTTCTGTCAGAACTCAGATTTTCGAGAAAACAGAAACATTCACAAAAATAGGAATTCGTTCTTGTGTGAATGAAGTCCCCATAGACTGTGTTAATGGTTTCTCAATAATTGCACTTCAACGAATTCTATATTGTGTGTATTCTACAGATAGTGAATTCCTAGGATAGATTTTCGATGAGCTGATAGTGTTTTATTGACCGGAAAGTATCCAAAATTTACATTGTTCAAACTAAATAAGATATATGGGACCGAATGTTGAAAAGAAATACATTTCAAGTACTGTAATATCAAGATACTACATTTACTGTTAATAACATCACTGAAGTAGGAAATACCAACTTTCTTGATCAATGTGCAATTTTACATATTTTCCGGTAGATTACTGAACTTACTCTTTTGGCCAGTCACTCTTGAGGGAAGTATCCTTATTTGCTTGTGGTGTCAAATTTTTGTATTACTATCCAATGAAAACTGCCCTTAACTAAGACAACACGAAAACCAATGCAAAATTGACAAATCTTTGTAATGACACCTCAAACGAACTAAACGTTAGTTCATGAACACTGAAGATAACGGAGGACAGTACTGATGATAATAAAAAAACTCGTGTCACATAATTTAAAATAGAACTTTACCAACTTGCCAGGTTTGGCAGCACTACGACAGAAAGCCCGTTCAAAATTTGTTGAGCAAAAATCGGAGTGGGTTCGAAATAAAAAGCGCCACTTTGATAGATATATTTTACCATTTACTGCGCAAATAATAAAATTAGTGTAAAGGGCAGCTGTGAATCACGATAATTTGTTTACTTAGCGTCATCTGCATGGCTAGTTTATCACCAAAAGGTTGGTGTATAATTGCAAACAAGCATTTAAAGGAAGTAATTTTTCCTTTACTTAGAATTAAATACAACATTGGAATAACCTTAATAGTGACCTCTCTTTGAATTTGATTGACCTTGAACGTATTACTCCATTTAAATTAAAAAAGCGTCATAATACTTCAATACATCAAAGAAGGACTCCCCTTCTTTACCAATGAAGAAGGCATCAATACACAGCTGTCGAAAATTAGGAGTCCTTTTTTTCTGAAACAAACACTCCTACGCTCAAACTTGTTGCTGTCCAATATGGTGATTTTCGTTTGAAATCAGCAGCTTAAAATTTGCGCTTTATTCTATATCAAACACGTTAAATGCTACACTTTGAATCTATCGATTAAATACGTGAATGCCATTTTTTTCCAAAATCAGCTTCAGTTATGGAATTTGTGGTATTTAAGGTGTTTGTAATGTCCTGAAATATTTCGCAAAGATAATCACGTAGACATATTCGACGTGTAACAGCAACTTCACGTTTCAGTTTAAGTTCTTGTTATTAACAGACTCTCTATAGGAGAGTGAGAGAGTGTGATATATAGAGATATATAGATGATATAGAGAAAGTGAACAAAACTACCGCATCATTATCAGAGGGATACCAGAAAGGTTTCAACGTATGATGATTGGCCTTGGTAGGAAATCGTTCGTCAGCCAGTGCTTCGCGTTCTTCCTTGGCCGGGTTTCTGTCAAGGGTGCCTCACAGTTTCTGGTTCTTGAACCGTCTAAGACATTGGAAGTCATGAGGTTCACAAGCTCGTCCTCGTAGCCACGTATCCTTTACATTTGTCCTTTGGCTCTATTGGCCCTCCTACGATCGTGCAAGCAGCTAGTTTCTATGCATTAACATTTTAAATAGACCCTTACGTGTAACGAAGCATAAGCCATATTGGAATAAAACTTCTACGCTTACGAACAAAAACACAAGCAGCTCCATTGGGTTAACGGATCAATGGTGGAATGATGGCAAATATTTCCGTGTTTGTGGGTAACATGCTAATGCGAACGATATACTAAGCTGTAAGGACGACTAAGAATTCGAAACTGTCAGGTTACACGTTAGAGGTTGTTGGAGCTTGGAAATTTTGTTTTTAAATAGTAATGAAAACAAAATGATAGTAAGGTAGTTAAGAACTTGATTTGTACGTCAGACTAACAATGTTCACAGAGAAAATATCTTCCACGTTTTGCAATCTTGCGGTAGCAAGTACCAGGTTTCTTCGAGAAACTAGTAAAAAAGGAGGCGATGTATTTCAGTATTCGAAATTTAGATCCTGGAATCGCTAAAATTATGTACACTTTTAAGCAGATATTGTTACATAAATACACAAATTTTCTGGAGTCTATATGTCGCATATAATGTAAGGTAAATTGTTTATATGTGCATTGCATTCATATGAATATAGTGCTAAGTAAAACGAATGCTCTTAACGCCCAGTTTGAGGGTGGAAAATAGAAAAACGATTTTTGCCCTAGCGTTGAATTGATGTTTGCGTAATTCAAAAATATGCTCACGTCAACAAGTAACATTCATTATTCGGTATTTTTGCACTAATATAAGTGCAAACTCTTTTACCTTGTATGTGAGGCGTCTGCATTAGGTACAATGACCGCAGATGCCAACACCAAATCTGAGATCGTCGTGGACATGTGCATCCCCAAGGTACAACCGATTCGGGTTTCATCGCGTGACGCATTTCTGGTCGATGATCTCACCCAGCGGGCCTGTGAACTCGTTGGAGTGCCACCTACTTTTCGGTTAGCAGAAAAATCTACTGCGTCTTTTCTTATCTAAACGATTAAAGTTTGCCCTTTGGTTTCCTTGCGAAAATCATTTTTTTTATCGCACCCTTTGTCGAGGCGCTATTCTACAATAACAAACATAAAGTTTGAACACCTGGCGAAGCCTTTCCTGCGAACACAGTATATAGTAATTCGAGTCTTCATCAGTTTATTATAATAGGTTTAACAGATAGCGGTTCTGTATTTCAGCTATTTGGCAGGGCTCTACGATAAAAAACTGAGTATGTATTTGGTACCGGAAGATACTATCGGAGGGGACGGCAAAGATTATGAGCTTCAGATTCGTATACGGTAAACAAGAATATGTGTGACGATATTAAAATAATTTTATCGTCTATGTTTAAGTATTACACATTTAGAACGAGCTAATGGTTCAATAAAGATAAAGATTAAATTAAAGATAAAATAAAATGAAGATTAAATTACCACGTTTGCTGTTGGAAATAATTTTTTCTATATTTTTTTAGCTGACTGTCTAATAATCCTAGGGTTTAAATCTCATAAGAATTACAAGCGAAGAAATGATATAGCAAGGAATGCTAAAATGTAAGAAAACGTGTCAGCTTCCGCAGACGCAGTTGTAACACACTTCACCTATTGCAACCGGCGAACGTTATGCCCTATTTAATTATAATACTATATATTTGAGCCTCCCGTTTGTGCATGAGGCACTTTGTCACTTTGAGATTTTATTTAGAAATATTTTTAAGCTGTACGCTCGGTTGACTGTTAAATTGGTGTCATCTCGTGCTTGTTCAGGTACCATCCAGCATCAATAGACAATCTAATGAATTCTCCGACACCTACGATGGACCTGTATTACCACCAACTTCGGTATTGCCTCCTAAACGGATACACTCAGCACAACCACAATAAAGAGGTTGAACATAAATTATTCGGACTTCTTGTCAGCGATTATGTGAGACAACTTGTAGAAAAGGACGAAAGGCCAGAAGGGAAAACCGTTGACGATTTAATGGAAAGCAGTTTCCCTTCGAATTGCAAGTTTCCATGGTGGAAGAGACATATCGTGGGAAAAGAATTCATGCAGTCGCTTCAACATGGCTATAAGGAGTGTAACAACAGTCTACCGTACATCAAGTGCACATTCATTGAAGCAGTCTGGAATAGTCTTGAGGAATTTCGACAAGAGAAATTTAAAGTAAGTTGCCATAAGGCAAATATATAATTAATTTACTTACTTTTCTTCTTATCTTAAAACTGGCTTTTTTACTGCGTTTGTCCAAAAATAACAAACTTGGTTCCCCTATTCAGGTTATTAAATTCCTTGAAATGAGCTTGCCAGGCGTAATGAGATCTATGAGATAACAGCCTGAAATTAACTAGATTCTAAACAAAATCTGTTTCTAGGCTAATAAAATGTATTATATTCTGTCATCGCAACAAAATTTAGGCGCAGATTCTTATAAATGGAACGGCGCGCAAATGTGAAGTGGCCGTGGGTCAAATGGGAGCCTTAAGCGAACCGGCAGGTCCCGGTCTACGCATCAACGAGGGTGATTCGAAAGACATGTACCTGATTTCTCAGTTGTGTTATTTAAATTTAGACGGAGCAAAGGTGGAGATGCATATCACTAATGAACAGCCGCTAAATATTAAGCTTGACGATGAGCGACAGGTGAGGGAATTTCTCACTCTTCTTGATGGATATTACCGGATGTCGGAAAAATTCATGGCATCTCTTTGTGGGCAACTCCAAAATCCGACAACTACGTATCTAAAAAAAAATCGAATCCATGGCCCCATTTCCGCGGCGGTTTCTCAGAAAAAACTTCTCGACAATGAGAGCAGACAGGTACGTAAAATACTCAGCCATAGAGAGGTTCACTATCGCTCGATAACAAAATACATTACGACTCTAGAAAGCCCACACGTATTGACATAAGTATGTGCACCATCAAGTGAGGTCCATTCACTTTGTTTTGACTGAAGAAAACGTGGAGTACGTTTTCTTCAAAGATCTAAAATGCTATGCAGGGTGAGACACACTGTTTGCTGTAAATACATAAATAATCGCCACACGCCCCTGACGGAGGTCAATTGTAATTAGTTGCTAATGAAACCGGCTATGACCTCCCTAATAGAGTTTCTGGCCAGAAATGGTATAAGGCATGCTGAAGCAGAATCGCCTAAGACGAGAAAGATAAATATAATTTTTTTTTTTTTATATACGACATCTGAAGCATTATTTTAGTATAACTGTAGTCGTTGTGAGACAAGGATTAAAACCACATACTCTGTCCTTACACTGCTTTTTTTTGACAACAAATTCTAGGGATGCTACCTTGTCCGACAAAGCGATATCCATTATCGCACCTACGTGGTTGACCTGATCCTGCCTGATGGTCGCATCGAGGCTCGCACCGTTATAGAAACACCTGACGGAAACTACCGACTGGATCGCGATAACGAAGAAAACGCGTTTAAGACAATATCTTCACTTGTAAAAGCTCGGCTACGTCCTGGTAACCCAGAACTTTACCAGCTTCCTCCATCAGAGTATGACAACACCGGACTCCAGTTCTGCCGGCCATTGGGGAAAGCTACAGAAAATGGAGAAGAAAATGAAAACAAAGAGCCGCCAGCCGTCGTTCTCAAAGTACAACAAATACATCTAGAGACTAGCCTCCGAACAACACTACAGCAAAAAGTCATGCGAGTACGTGTTTGACAAATGAGCCACATCTTCTAAGTTTGGTTATATTTTCCTAACTCTGTAATTATCTCTTTGAACTTGTGCATATATATTTGTGTATAAATTATACTTAATGGAAAATGTAGAGAGAAAATGCAGTGCGACCAACTTTACCAACCTCCAATTTTGTTGTTGACATGAAAATAGAAATAAATTAGAAAATTGAATAGAGATAGAAATAAATTCGAGAATAAAATACAATAAATATTACCTGTATTACGCGTGCAGCGTAGAAGAAAATCATTTTGGGGACTTCGATTACCTGAGTCAATAATGTAACCTGAATTAAACGTGTATGCTTTTTAGGGTCGATTTGGAAAAAAGAATGTGGTCGTACGTTTCATTAACGAAACCAGTTACCAAAGAAGCTTTCTGAATAAGGCCGACCAAGTGCTTACGTGGAGAAGTCGTGAAATTGTACCCATTCTGGGGATTATCATTGTATCTCCGGTTGGCCTTGTGTCTGAATATATGCCACTTGGGTCACTCGACATCTTTCTCAGGTCAGTTAATTTAAACATTGGGACATCTCAGTGCTTCATTATAACGTCCATTTATGTACAAGTAGAACAGGGACGCAACCATAGATAATCCCTTCGCATGAAATACTTGTGCTGTTTTCGGTATAGGAATCGAAAATCCTTTCTTCTACTCAGATTGAAATTATACTTGTATGATGACTACTTTTCATCTAGACAATTATTTATCTCCAGTTCACTGTGAGGCTGAATGCTTAATAAGCTATTCAAAAGGATTAGGTCATGAAAATGTGAGATCCATCTACCTAATATGCATTATACTATCATCAGTTGCCTATACACATGGCTCATTCAACTCTTTTCATTAATGTAATTTTGCTTGAAACACATTACTTTTTCTTGTCGAAGTTGCCTTAACGTAGGTCACTAAAGTTAATGTTATATATCTATAACACTTAAATATATCCTAAGTAAGTTTAGATGCTCTTGTCCCGAAACGACAATTGTGAATACTGACGGGATGACCAGTGAGGTACTGTCGCATCTTAAACGTTTATCATTAGCATGAAAATTCTTATATTATAGGCAAAAAGGTGATGAGCTCTCGATCGGCGATTTAGGTGATGCATCCCTGTGCCTAGCCAAAGCGGTGTGGTATCTAGAGGAGAATGGGCTCGTCCATGGAAAGATTCGCTGTCGCAGTGCTTTTGTAGCTGAGTGCGCCCCGAGCTCATTTAAGGTGAAGCTAGGTGAACCGGGCGTTCTATCCTATGATGAGCAAGATACCCCTTGGATAGCTCCGGAGTATTTGTCAGTTATGAGCTCCGTGGCGTATTCTCTCAAAGCTGACTTGTATGCGCTTGGCACGACTATGTGGGAAATCTTCAACTACGCTAGAGATCCATTTGAGATTGTGCCGATGGACGATGCTCGTGCGTTTTTTGCCGCAGGCAAACGCCTTTCGCTAGTTGACGTTCCACAAGAATTCTGCGAGATTGTGGCTGATTGTTGGCACGCTGATCCTGACGAACGTAGGTCACCACGTTCTATTGTCCGAGATATCCATCAGTTGCTTTATCAGATTTATCTACCGAAGAAATTCAACCTGTATGCTGATGTTAATCCGAGCCTCCGGCTGGCTCCGCCCATGAACAGGTAAGATCTAACACAGGTGTTTTTATCTTTAGAATGCTAGCAAGTCATTTGAACGAGGCTGTTGTTTATATTGAAAAAATATGTACAGAGTTCGTAAAAGCAGCAGCTCTCAAAGATAGGCGATGAGCACATCGGCAAGCCATGGAAAGTATAAATTGTGTTTGTGAGTTTTGACATACATCGAGAACGTTAAAAAATTTCTTATCCTGTGTAATTTCTAATAGTTACTGTTGAGAATATATCAAGTTAAACCGAAAATTATAGCTATTGATTAACGTTTAGTACGATGTAAATGCAACTTAAGAGAAATACATAATTTATTTACTCTCATTATACGTTTTAGTCCTGAGCCTCCGGAAATACCTCCCTTACGGGCAGTGCCCCCGCGTCCAAACGAAAGTCTCGTGCAGCGGCGAAACTCAACTGCTAGCCAACAGAGCATTGTAAGTCACAGAAACTGGTTCAGTTCTGTATTCCGACCGAAGAAAGATTATGACTCGTTCTCTAACGTAACATCTACCTCGATTGCTATGTCGGATCATACAGTGGCTACTGAAACAACTGACGTTGAAGAAAGGCCGGACATTAGTCTGGATGAAATCGACGATGATTTTCCTGATGCAACAGCACTGCTCAACGGAAAGTGGATCATTGAAAAGAAAGATCTTAAAATAGCCAATCCTTTGGGACAGGGATTTTTCGGTATGGTCTTCAAAGCAACTCTGACGAGGTACTCTGGCATATTCGAAGAGCAGGTAGCAGTGAAGAGAATGAAGTCTTCGGTGCAAGAATTTAGCCAAAAGGATCTAGAACGAGAAATTGAGATTATGAAAAAACTGCGACACCCAAATATTGTGGAAATCAAAGGCATCGTGGAAGAGCCTGAAGTGCTCCTTGTGATGGAGTACCTTGAACTGGGTTCACTGCAGATCTATCTTCAACTCAACAAGAACAACCTAGACCACACTCATCTAATTAAATACGGTTATGATATTGCCAATGCGATGGCATACCTCGAACGGAAGCGGATTATTCACAGAGATCTAGCCGCTAGGAACATCCTCGTGAAATCCGAATCATGTGTCAAGATCAGCGATTTTGGTCTGGCCCACATTGTTGATAGGGAATACTATATGATCCAAACGATGCACCGTAATCTGCCTATTAAATGGTACGCACCTGAATCGATCCTTTATGGGAAATTCTCCGTCAAAAGTGATGTATGGAGCTTTGGGGTAGCTCTTTGGGAGATGTTCGCCTTTGGCGAGGACCCTATGCCAGCAGAGTGTATTGAACTTACACACTTAGGAGAACAGCTCATGGCTGGCCATCGCTTGCCGCTGCCACCAGGTTGTCCGACAGACGTCTACCAGATAATGAGGGAATGCTGGAGGTCCGACCACAATCTTCGGCCGACATTTGCCACACTTCTGAGCATGATGAAGAATCTAGCCGATACAACCGGCGTATTTGATAGAATGAATGATCTGCTCACATAATTAATACGCCAAGACAAATTGGCGGGATATTACACGGCCGGTTGGACTCCGCGTATTAGACACGCGCCGTTCCAGTTACAACAAAACAATATCCATTCAAGTGCAATTTGATGAAAATTGAGTAGATAACTCGTTTTCAGCTCAGTTCTGGCGCATAATGTTTGTGTTTTTTAAATATGTCATATTTTTTAGCGGACGATGTTAGATACATAGATGATTCATGTGTCAACATTAGATAATAGTGTTTTTGACTTTTATAAATATATAGTTTGTCTTTTTCTAGCTAAATGACGAACTGACGAAAAAATGTACAACATATTTTATTTTTTGAGTATCTGAATGTGCGCTTCCGCGTCCCTACTTAAAAAGAACACCTAGCGAAACCGTTTAAAATTAAGAAATTACAATTTTAGAATAAAATCTTTGTTTTGATATACACGTATTAAAATCCCTGCTCTACGAAACGGTCATCGCGCAGATTGAGTACAAGGTCATGTTATAATTGACGAGGTTGGTTAATGTGTTGTGTTTAATACTTTCGTAACTGTAAATACCATAGCTCAGTGCCCGTTGGGCCTGGATATAATGAATTATTGATTTTGGTTGCTCGCCTGTAACTTGAAAATTTTACGGATATAAAACATTTGAAGCTTTACAATATATATCACAATTGTTGTTAGTGTATATTATATGTAACTGTAGATAAAAAATATCCTATAATGCACTGAGCAATATGACTAATTAATAAGGTAAAATAAGTGTACTAATTACGGACGTAGATGCCTCTCTATTAATCCATACTGAAAATAGATCTCCATTATGCTATTGTGCGTATATTAGATGCGAATCGAACTCTTAGAAGAAACTAAGTATGAAACTAAGTAACGTCAGCGCTACTCGTTTGTTGGGTGATATATTGCTTATGTACAATATTGCCGCAAAAATAACGTATTTACAGATTAAGGTTAAAAACGTGCAAGGGTGCAAGCGCATTCTAGATTCAAAATTGGATGTAGATTACTTTGTTTCGTGCTCGGAGATATCAGTCCTCAAAATCAATATTCAATAGTCCGACAGTGGCGGATGTAAAGCTCAAACTACTAATCTGCCGAGCCTGCCTAATGGGTAAGTCGGCGGACTTACAGCCGTTAGGTCATAGGTTTGGGCTGAGTCGAGATCAGCTTAAAGGAGCTCAGATCGTAGTTTGCAAACGATTTGAGTCTTTAACATTAGTTACCTAATAGCAATTACGCTCGATCTTTAGGCTATTTTTTCTCAGGCCCCTAGTTATAATAGAAATTTAGGGAGTATATTTGGAATAGGTTCGCATTGTTTTAGTGCCCACAAAAAACATTAAAATAGATAAACATGCGTTATATTTATGTGAAAGGCAAAGCAATACGAAAAGAAATAGATTGCCGCGTTGTATTGAATTTGCTAATGCTAGGAGCTGCAAATAGCACGAACGAACGCGTTGTGTCGCGCTAAAAAAAGAAAAATTATGATGTTTTGTGCTACGTTGATCTAGAGATACATGTATGAAGATGCGATCTTTACGCAGTTTCCTGCTATTATTTGTTTCAAATCTTGAAAAAATTATATGGCTCGTGTGTTCACGTCTCTATGTATCTATGTAATGGTGGTGACCGTTGAGATTTCCTCTGGGAATACTTTATTTCTGGACGTTGTCGTAGCCGATGCAATGCAGACCGGCGTTTTGAAAAAGAGAATCGATTCGCCTATTGGCACTAAAAGACTTTTGCTTTTCTTTCTTTTGCTTCCGGGTATTCGAAACGACTCTTGCCGTCTCGTTGACTGTCTTCGTTGCTTTGGTCACCAGCATACCAGTGCGGATAAATCTACTTATCCTGTGAAAGGTTACTATCAAGTACCTCATAATGTTGAGCATTTTTGCTTGTTCCACTCCACTTTGCTCCGACAGCTCGACCGATGTGTACTGCTTCTGTATCATCAGATAATAGTCGCTGCGTCCCCTCACCTTCATACATCAAGAATTATCGTTGCATTAATGATAGTTTTTGGTAAACTCTGTGTTGTAAGGCTCTGATTAAAAATCGTTTATATAATGTAGATGCCAAATTTCTCTATTAAATAATACCCTTACAGTTACGATACGAAATTCATTAGTTGTCATGAACGTAAATGAACGTATTTCTTAGCTCGTGACGTTTTATTACGTAGATAGGTTCTTCTTGAGAGATATTTATTTAGGGTCGGTAACGACTAATAAGGAGGGAGACTTGAACTACAACGGAAAATTAGATCAAATTAGTTTCCCTTTCTAAGTTTCATTGGACATCGAAGCGCTTGCAACAAAAATAGGCCTTTGGTCTTTAAGTCATTAGCGTGTACAGTATCGTCTTACATAGCTTACTTTGTAGCTAAAATTGCTCAAAAATACATCACGAAATCAGACAAATGTGCTATGGCATATACATCTGTAGAGGGTAGACATATTTTTTAAATTTCAAAGCGTTCCAAAAACCATCGTGTGTAGAATACTTTTATATGACGCTACAAGGCACTGCACATTTTTTAAGGTTGAAATACAAACGGCAGAGTCCTTTAACCCTGTACAATGGTGCGTGACACGTGAATGTCTTAATATATTACGAGACAGGATGACGCTACACTAATGCCATTATTTTTCTAGGTGAAAAAAACGAAATAAGGAAGAGCATAGACCACCACGACAAACACTACGCATAGCTAACTGACATGTACCTAAGGTATTTAGATATATAGGAGTTTAGTCTACAAATGGACGTGTATTTAACGTCTAGCGTCAGACTAGTCCATAGAAGTTACGGTTCTACCAACACGCATATACAAATTAATGAAACATAGACAACAACAACGGATTCTAATAATTATGTAGGCTTATCCGAGAAGATGTTGATTATTAATGGTACACATACATCTATGCAACAGAATGTTGTCTGTGAAATAAGCTCAGTTACCCCCAAAGCATTTTTCGACTTTGAACCCGATTACAATCCTCAAATGCTACTGAAGGCTATCAACAAAGGAGACTCAAGTAACCTAAAGCTCGCGTATATATTTATAAACAGCAAACATTACTTTGATAATTGATAGCATAATTGAAAGCCAATAATGGATAATCTTTGACAAGCGACAGGTCTCATCTTTCCGTAAGAATATATCTCGCATTAGATCCGAAATTCTTTTAAAAAGAGTCTGAATAAATCTACTTAACTGGCCTAGTTTTCCAAATTGAATATCTTAAAATATCATAAATTGATAAACATATGCTTTATTTCGTTGATTCTATTAAATACATGCGCAATAGGTTCAATCTTCAAAAAATAATACAAAAATACTTTTTAATAGTCGAACATACACGACAAAGGTATATTTATTTATTTGAGAAAACCATATTGACAGATAAGTTAGTGTGATAGTAAGATCATTAACAAATTATGTGAACTGACAGCTACCTTTTATCGAAAACAAGTAGTATGGTTTTAGATGTCAGACATTTAAAAGGTCTGCATCCAAACAGAAAAAACCTAGTTAAGTAAAATGTTGTATGGCCTGTTGTAGCCTCAGTTCATTTTGCAAGAAATTCAGATCAAGTTTAAATTTCCATTACAGTTGCTGGATTTATTGTCTCAACAGATAATGGAAATCCCTTCTATTTTAGGGTAGGACTAAAGTTTTTTCCATTATATATTATTGCTATTGTTATTCTAACTGCCTCATGTAAAATATGGCATCACCTGCTATTGATGTGTACAGGACACTAATATTGTCGCTATGTCCGTAATACCTACGTGTTCACGTAATACTTGTGACTTTTCCTAAATATCTATAAAAACAATACTAAAATGAAGATAGCACTTTGAAGTATCTGTGTTTTCATTGCTTGGTATATCTGCTGGTTTGTTTTTGCGTTTACATACATGCTTGTATTTGTCGCATTGTCATACAACCTTTATTTGTCACTTGGTGGTTGCCGCTACACTTATTTCGAATATTGTTGTCTCAATAATTGGCTTTCAGCTCGTTGAAATTTTTTGTTATTCACAGCTAACAATCAAAATTTGTGATGTAGCAAGAGACAAAAAAGAAGCCATAAAGTGATACACGCTTCAATTAGTCTTCTTTCCATTTTTCCTATGCTGCGTCTATATATATATATATATATAAATCCCAAAAGAGCAAGATGTAACTCGGCGGTAGTAATGGTGCTGTTTCTGCCGTATTTACGTTTCGATCCTCCGTTTACGATCTTCATCATTATGTCCGAGCTGAGCCCTGATGCAATAGTCCTTTTTCTGTTTGCTCGAATTTCTTTGTTTCAGGAGCTTCAGACGCTACTTACGACTTACGTTATTCATACTGCTATAATGTACGTTCTACGTAACTTACACCGTTATAATTTATTTTACCCCATTATTATTTATTATACTGATTTTCATGTTTATCTGTTTTATTCATATTGCTGCTCCACTCATAGTTACGCCGACCATTGAACCTGTATTTCAGCAGCAAAACCAAGAGCATTCTAAATAGCGACAATATTCTTCATTCAGTTGTCGCTTGCTTTTCCTGCCCGCAAGAGCTCAGCTTTTCCAATTCTGCTAATCTATGCATACGCATGTCCATACACGCATATTCTTTTTTATAAATTATTGGCTAGTAGTTACACAATCCATGCTTCAGTTACGTGGTAGTCTGTCCCATGGTCTAAAGCCAATATTTTTAATATCTTTTGCCGATTTTGATTTATAATTCGCGGTACAGTACGAGATATTCAGTGTTAGGCATTGTGCGTACTATGTGATAACTACTACTGAACGTAAGCATCGCTTCGTCGTTGTGCTTTGGTACCATTTGGGTAAAATGAGACCAATACATGATAATAAAAAAAACAATATATACTGTTAAGAGTAATGAGTTTATTCTTGTAGTACGGATTCATTTGTTCCGGCGATTTCTGTTATAATTCGCAGCATATAGATGTATAGTAAGTATAATAATAACACCGTTATTATCTTTCCTCTATCATCATGTTGTTATCTGCTGTATAAGGCTGATAGGTTCACGTGCTCGAGGCATCGCTGTTGCTATTTATCATTTTTCGTAATAGAGTAACATCTCTCGTTGCGTACGATCGCATATCGGCATATTAACTTACACAACAAAAAAATCACACGATCTTGGTTTCATTTTAAGTTTTCATTGCTTTCGTTTATCTGAGTGGTTTTTGCTAGCCTACACTGTATTTTACTTGTTGGATTACCAAAGTTTTCGAAAGAACCACTGGACAAACTTTTTAGGAGTCCGACCTTTGGTGATACAAGCTACCACTCTCAGAACTTGTATCTATAAACGATTCGTGTTTTTCATTTGTAGTTGGACATTTTCCAAGCTTTCTTTATTTTGCTATCGATTCACAGCCAACCCCCTTTCCGAAACCTTCCTGTGGGTCACAGGCTACGATCTTATCACAGTAGCAATTGCGCCGGCAATTGCCAGCTGATCAGACCTGAGGGGAAACAGTGGGGCAAGCATCGAGTTGATGACGAATCAACTCTCACAATACTTTTGGGGAGACCTCCGTTCTCAACAACTGATCGATGCTTCGAATTGCCCACTTTCTATCTAATCCCAATTGTGTTGACAATTTCCTTGAACAAAGTTGAAGCTTGATCGCTTTCCAGATTTTAGACAACATACCTTAAGTAAGCAACGTAGTTTCGACATGACATTAAAGAAAGAACAAGCCATTTTGTATAAACACAACAAAGGATTATCTAGATATATAGGGATCCTAGATGTCTACTGGAAATGCCTGTGTTACATCGCCACATGCGCTAGGACACAAAATTTATGAAAATGCCGGTAAATCGTTCGGCGAAAATCAGCTTCATGCTAATCTTTCCTTAATAATATATCCTGATAATTCTTGACTATCTTCCGAACTGTTCGCCTCATGCTGTTTCCAAGTTTTTTTCAAAACTCACTGTGTAACAACGATTTGTATCATAAGTATAATGATTTCTATTCTCATTATTGTCTAGATTAACAATTTAATAATTCATGAATTGACTTACTGACCCTGATGTCTTTTTTGAAGACCACCTCGATACAATGTTGACGGAAAATTACACACATATCAGCGGAATCTCCTAGATGATTCGGATGGTTTGAACACTCATTAGTAGTGAGTTGCATTAATTCCTCCAACTATTTGCCGGAACAGACCTATACACAGTACGCTACAAATGGCATGTACGTACCTGGCTATAGGTGCCCGACTGATACTAAAAAAACAGGCAAAAAAACAAGTCGCAGATGACCAACGCTTAGGTTAGAAGCGTGCACCTCCCTTACGAGTCGTCAGTGCTATGGTGCATTCTCTGTTTTTTCTGGATGAGATGAACTCAATGGCTTGTCTGTGAACGACATCAATACTCAAACCTTTTTCTTCATTTTGTAAACGGAGGCAATAAAATCAATCGTGAGATTTACTTACCATGTACGGAATGACAATGACGCATTGTTAGCTCCGATTGGTAAGAAACTCAATATTGACTGTTTCAATACGGCAGGATACGAGAATAGAATAGGGTAACTATTTTGCCCTCAATCTACCAATAATACTAATACAGTGTCAACAAAGTGCATGAAGTATACTAGATGGCAGTCTCAATTCAACGTCTTTAAGCTTTGCTTGTTACACGCTCGACGAATTACATAGAACTTGTTTACTTCAACTTGCATCGTCCAAGGAATCAAATATATTTGTGTATTAGATTATTAGTACGTCTATGTCTGAATCAATGAACGTACAGAGCAATCTGCCTCAAAAAAAATGGTCAACTGCCGCACAGATAATGTTGAGGTGATTCATAAGGAACCAAATGTCTTACATTGTTGCAATGAAATTCACTATCGTTAAAAAAATAACAGATGGGTCGCAGATTCCTGCACACACATATCCATACATCACTTGGACACATCTCCCCGAAAATAAATTCGAATTGAATTATCTCGAGAACTAGATGAGTTATTGTACGTTATATGGAAACTTAGAATAATGCGCAAAATACTCCACGTGAAACAAAGATTTCTAGACAAATTTTACCAATCGCAACCAAAAGGATTCATGATGAATGGCAAAATTAAATGAAATTGATCTTGGATGTATGAGGCGCAGAAGGCATGCCGGGTACGACAAAATATGGTTGCGAAAGCCTACACAAAAGCAGTTCAGGCGGCCTTTATTTGTACCTTATTTTCTTAACCGGGTCTAAAGCATGCGACAGGCAACGCTCGGGATATTTCTCAGTCTAAACTTCCGATGAATCCAGAACACGTCACTTCTGGGTGACTCCAATATGCTAAAATGTCATCGATATGTAGGATACGACGTAAAAACGGAGCCATAAATCGCACTCTGAATCTAAACGGACATAAACTACCACCGCACCAACTGAATGAGTAAGAGCAATTGAGTTAATTCACTACTCAAGTAAATGCGAAGACCTCAATCTAAGACAAAACTGTGTTCGAGAAGTTAGCACAAAATTACTGAAAGAAAATCGATTACAAAAGTAGCAGTCAGTAAAGGTGTAAAATAAAGAAATGACGAACAAAAAAGGAAAACTCAACAGAATAAACGCTGTAGTCGACATTTTATTATTTATTTCTAATCGAGGATCATTTTTTGCGCACAGGACCACTGTATATGTTTAGCAGAAACATCACGGACACGACCTCCTTATTTTTATATATAATATCTGATAATTGTATCTCAGCATGATTATCGTTACTATTACTATGGTTACTATTATAGTCGATATCATCGTGAATTTCATACTATTCGCCGCCTACTTCAAACTCAGACAGACCCGCATAGTCCTTTTATAATGTACTTTTTTACATGCGAAGAGTAGCGAAATGAAACGAAAAGCAAATAAAGCTTGGCCTATTTTGTCCTATTGGTAGTTCGTTACACAGTCACCTTTAAAAGCGTCACATTTCGTCGCGGCGTGCCACTCTTGCGGCGTGTCCCAACTTTTCGTTGATTTTAACGTTTCGTTTATACCTCTTACATCTATTTAATCTATTCATCTGTATCTTTTATTCTCTCTCTTCGCATGACCGTGTTAGTTTTCACGTAACTGTTTCTCGTACCAATGGCTATAGATTGCACATATATGTATACCGTTAAAAGCCAGCACTTAAGTTTCATGTCTTGTCTTGTTTTTGAGCATATACTGCAGTGGTGCTCGCATACAAGGTTCTTGCGGATCAAAAATCACCCCCTTTTTATTTTGATTCTATTATTTAATAGTAAACAAAAGCCAGTAATGACCAGGGAGTCCGAGGCGAAAATAGGCATTTTTATCTTGATTTACCACTTTAAATCGAAAATATTGCGTATTTTGCGCTAGGAGGCCCAGAGACTGAAAATGAACTGGCAAAGTGCGGACGAATCCTTGTCATCCAAACCACAAGAGTGATGCAAAACACTGCAAACTGATATAATCTAAAAAAACCCTAAACATATCGCGCTGGCCATGTTGGGCAAACTGAAACGCACAATCCGATTCGTTGGAGGTAACACATAAAGAACGAATACATGGTGAACTAAATCGGTAAATCGAAAGTGATAGTTCCCACTATATACACTTAAGCTATTGTAAATGTTGTCATAATAACAATTCTAAGGTCAACTTAAAAACCTGACAACTAAGAGATTTTAAAGAAACCAGATTACTCGATATTGTTACACCACAAAATACTAACAGATTTGAATAATATAAAACTGTATCAGACTTGAGTTTTGCTTAAATATAGTTGACTCATATACAGTTTACACACATGCTCTTATATTTATAAAAAATAGATATAAAATAATAATAGGGAAAAAAATGGTGTCACTTTGCTCACGGGGCATTCGCTTCCCGCATGTTTCACACGAGTTAACAAAGCCTGCGCCGTTAATTAGTTGTTTTATTTGTGGGCTTAACCAATTGGACCAGTAATTTCACTCGTTGACAAGATTATCGGTCTCGCTCTATCTTCAATAATTATCATTAACATAACAAAAATAATGTTACTGCTAGTATAAACACTAACCGAATAATTAATAGATTCAATTACTTCATCGCTATACAACAACTCAATATAATTACAACTCAAGTGTTGATTTCTATATTTGTTTCAGCCATTACCAGATGCAGTAATAATAATAATTTTTATTATTATTATTATTATAATAGTAATGCTTTCGGCTAAGAAAATCTATATACTAGTATCGTTTATTAATTGCAAACGAACTAACAAAATTTGTTACTATATAGTAACGAGTATACATATCTTTTCATAGGGTTGACGACGTAAATCGCTCATAATTTTGATCCGAATTTGCCGAAAAACCAGCTGGCAGTCCACAACGTGAACATATCACTGGCGCATTCGTTGAAAGAAATCTACGGTGGTCTACGGTGGCAAAACGTACTTTACTTATATTTAATAACAATATGCAACTGTTAAAGAACTCGTTAAGGTAATCATATTTTATTGGATGCTAACTATGATGTGACCAAGTTGTAACTACCACGTCGACCGAGTCGCCGTAACTGTTCTGCACTGAACAATAATACTCGAGGCAAAGTTGCCGTTCACGCTGTCCTATCTGAATAACTTCCATAGTTTTAGACAGACCAGTCGCCGCGAAGCGATTCGACCACCTGTCTGTCCAATCGATAAAAATGAATTAGGCAGGATACGTTTGCGTGGCTAATGTCAAATGCCAACAATAAAGTGATTTTTCGGGACTGACCTAGATATACTATTGGTTTTTGTTATGGCAGGCAAAGAGGCAAAATAAGATTCCTGCGCCATTGCGAAATGTCTTTGCTAGATGATATCACGAGCCTTAAACACCATCCGAGTTCTAATATCAAGTCGTCATTAGCAATTGGTGTTTCTTTTAAACTCGCAAAATGATTAGTTATTTCTAGTATATAAACCCTACATTTTTGCGACTCAACAGCTCCGCCACAAACAACTAGCCGATCGGTGCCGACTGTTTGTCGACACCGTCATACCCTAGGACGCTCGTACGTCTGAGAAGGAGTCTGGGAATATTTTAGATACTATATTTTTCGTTGTTTCTAACTAAATGTATGCCTCTTATACTAAATAATTTAACAAGAAAATTTCAGTCGTCCACAGATCACCATTTCTCCGGCGGATTTCGTATTTTTCCACAACCGTAGTTGGAATATGAGTGGTACAGAACGATTCAGGAAAAGAAACCGGCCCAACGATGCTGGATGCAGCAATCGTCGGGGTCATCAACGCTGGTGCTGTAGACTTTATTAATGCCTACGTCACCTTTCGAGGAGACCCAGTGACCATGGTACCACCCATTGACGTCTGCTAACCGATGCAAAGGACTGGTCAGTTCTCGTACATCATCCCACATTCCACTCATCGCTACCGGTGTAGATTTTTCAAGGTGGGCTTTCATAGGTTACAGCGACAACAAGTGATTGCTTGATTGTAGTTCATGTTCGTGAGTGGGAAGATTTGTTAGGGTGGGCGTCACGCACCAAGAGACATCCAGAAGTCAACTGTTGTACGATTAATTTCTAAAATCTTCTTACAACGAGCGCAGAAACCTACTTACAGGTGACCGAACGGATCGAAGCCGGCGGGATGCTTAAGCTGTACCAACGGGAAGGAAAACGGCATGAAGGAAGGGCCGATTCAGAAAATAGGGTCATGGCGGATGACAAGAAGACAGGGCAAGGGAGTATGGTCGTAAATTTAGCAGGATGATGGGACCCCAAGCCGACATTCAGGAGGGTTGCGGCGGATCCGTGCCGGACGGAGAGTGAGGATGAAGCAGAAATAATAACAGCAAAAAAAAGCAAAACAACAGTCGCAGCATTGAGAAAAGGAATGAAATAAGGCTAAAAAGAAGTAAAAAATGGAATTAAGTGTCAAAGTCGTCCAACAGATCGATTAGCAATAATGACTTATTTAATAATCAGACCAATAGGTCTGATCTGGTAAACTAGAATAATAATAATACTAAACTCGAACAGACTATTCATAAATAACACTAGTTAATTCGTTTATCATAGCGTAATTAATCCGATGTATTGGTGTTCATCTAGTGGAGGAAAGGTAATAAAATGATTCGTACGGATATCGTACACAGCTTCATCCAAAGCATTCGAAAAAAACCGCTACGATACATCTTAATAAAATCGTTAATATTAGCCATGAACTGGAGGCAGTTCACTGTACGGACTACAAAACAAAGTACTTCCTACCAACTTATTTTTCCGCTAATTAAGCGATCAGCAGTATACCGGACCAGTATAACGTTGTTTACTTACAGGTAACACCACAACGTTAACTTGTGCAGGGATAACCTACCGCGATCAACAAAAATCAGATTGTACGTAACTAATACCTTGGATAATAATATTGCTGTGTACTCTGTATCTGAATCTTGAGCGACATGTGTTACGTTTTTCCTTTTGTGAAAAACATGCTTTCTGATCATAGCAAAAACCATTGAGTTATTATTGACCTAGGTGAGAGAATGCAAGTTTTGGTGGACACAGCATTGAATTCAATTTTCCATGTCCGTAGAATTTGGGGCGAATGAGGCAATTGATTATGGAATCACTTATGCATGCCGTTAGATTATAAACGTTTTGTTGTCCTCACAGCGATTTCTAATTATAATGCGTTAGGCACGTTATTGTGCTTTCGTTATTACCTTCTAATGAAGGTAATAACGAAAGCACAGTGCTATAACAACAGCTACTAATGTAACTGTTAATTCTCGATTTGATGTTAATCAGCTCTCTGTTCGGTGTGTTACTGATCGTTGTAGATATCATGTGCGGTTTACATGCATTTGGTTTATAATTTTATCCATTTTCATGATTAGCTTTTGCTTTGGTTGTTATTGCTTGGTAGTATTTTCTCTGCTTGTCGATGCACCCAATGTTAACTCAGTTCAGCCGATTCTGAGAACGTCTGTTTCGTCGTTTGGGCTTCGTTTATCTCTCTATCTCGCTGTCTCTTTGTTTGTCTGTCTGTCTGTCTGCCTGCCTGCCTGCCTGCCTGTCTGTCTGTCTGTCTGTCTGTCTGTCTGTCTGTTTGTGTGTCTGTCTGTCTGTCTGTCTAAACTGTCTACTCGTTGGTGGCGCTGCTCACAGGGGCCGTTGCTGCAGGAGCCTGACTCGGTGTTGTAGAGAAGAGATCTGAGAAGATCATGTCGCTAGTATTTGTAGCCGCTCCACCGGGGGCAATAGCCGCTTGATTTCCGCCCGACGACGAAAAGTCGGGATTCCAGCCTATACCGGCTCCAGCCGTCATTTGCTTAGCAGACGACATTTGTGACAACGTGGTCGCCTGTTGCTTGCTTCTAGAAATGAACAATGCCAACAAAGGATTCCAAAAATACACAGATTTTAGCGACACCAGGCGTCATAGCCAGTCGGGTTAACTTTTCCGTGAGCTGTTTTCTGATTCAACTGCAGTTTGGTGAATAGGCCAGTGTTAGTGTATACGGTCTGCCTGACAGTGAGACCTGCAGATTTTGTAGAAAGCAGTAGCTTGAATCATTTGAAGCCAGCCGTCAATATAGGTTTGAAAAATTGTGACTGGTTCGAGCAAAATATAAGAAAAAGTGAAAGCAATTTGTTAATGAGCAGCATGAATTCGGTTACATATATTAAAGGCGGATATAATTTGTTGACATGGTTAAGGTCCCAGGATTTTTCAGCGTATTGTGAAGAAAAAAGTTATGAAAGCTGGCCTATATCTGCACTGATTTCGAATCCGTTCGGGACGAGCTGTCCACGGACGCGATCCTTTTCTCTTGCCTATTCACCTTCGTAAAATTGGGTCAATGGTTTGAATGAAAAACGTTATGCTGAAGTTCCACTTGAACTTATAGATAGAAGCCAGGTTGCGATCATATTTACGCCACAGCAATTTCAATACAATAATATCGAGGCCCAATCGGTGGAACGCGATTAGCCATTCGAACGCCTACAAATTTGATGATGGACAGCCAATTACGAAAAGCAACGGTTCATAGAAGAGCTTTGTTGTTAGTCCATTAGTACACATGAATGTGCACAAATTCGCAAGAAAAACGTAAGCGACATGTACGACAAAATAAAGTCAAAAACCGGGGAAAGACTGGAGTAAATGGAAGACGGGGTGTGCATGCGCGCAATGGGCGAGAAGACTAATAGAGAGCAAACGGTTAATGGAAACATAGCAACGCCAACTCAGTCAAATACTTATTATTGTGGTGAGATCGAACTCGGAAGAGTTTTGAAACACTTACGGCGTGCGGTATCTGGAAAGAGTGAACAAGAAAAACGAGAGCGGTGCTTTGTTTAGCCTAAAAACAAAGTGATAAACAGAAATCGTTTAATGAAAACGAAACGATATATTGTAATAAGAAATAAGTAAAAAAAAAGTAAATTAGAGTACGACAAACTGTAACATAAGCGAGTTAGCATAACGCTTGTGTTTATCGCATAAGTAAAAAATTAATAGTAATAAATAATAATGACTAATTTCTAATAATTGGACTGTATTTGAAAACAAAAAAAAACAAGGCAGTAGTTCTTGCTAAAAATAATGAAACGAACCGAGTCATCAATACGCCTCACGCTTTAGAGCAAAAAAAAAAAGTACATCCGCAGGTGCTGTGACTTACACTTATTTCTGGACGTCAAACGCTAGTTCAAACCTGATAGACTAATTTTAAATCTAGTTAGCGAAAAATATGTGCTATTTAATGCGGTGTTATGAGTCTTTAGGGCGATTAAGGGTACTCCGTCGCCATCCTTTTGATAATTGTTTATTAAATATATACGTTTCAAGAAATCTATCAGAAACAGGGTAAGAGCTTAGCAGAGCGCGTTAAAACCTTTGGCGCCATGAAATTGAGAAAAAAATTGACAACTCTAGTCACAAGAACATGCTGTCATAATAGGTCAATATACGACGTGCTTCTGTACTTATGTCGTAGAAGATACACATTTTCAAATGACATTTCGCTTTACACAAACTAACATTCCTTCAAATGCACTTTTCGTCTGCTTGTTCTTGGATATGCAATACAATTGACATACCTGTGCGCTGGGCTGATATCGAGATTTGATGCTAAATTTGCCAGAGTCGAGTCAAGGTCTCCGGTGATGATCGAATCGGTAGCTGAACAAATTGAATTAAGCAAAAAGTAACGGGCCGTTTTTAGTCGAAATCGTAACAGATGACAAATGGATAGCCATAAGTCTACAGATAAACACACTCATACTCGGTGATCTTTACCGAAAGTAGGAATGGATAGATACTTCTTATGTTACGTCACAGTACGACCAATAAGGATATGCTTTTGTGATAGAAATGATAGCTAAAAGCATCAATTCACTTGATTATTTCTCACGATATAATACTTGTTTGCTGTATCGGTACTATTTTTCGTGAATCATATCGGTACGCTGTGTGCCTTCCGAGCCTACTCAGCTATCTCCAACGCTAATCAAGTATAATAACAGATAGTTGTTGGGTCGAGGAAGGTTAGAAAGAGTATATAATTATTCTGATAAACTACGAACCTCTCTTATTACTTTTCACGAAATAAGCGGCAGGATAAACTGACATCAAGTTTAATAACCCCCTCATCATATTTGATAATTTATGCTTCACTAAAAAAGCATTTGATTAACTGACTCCCAGAATATAAATTTAAACATTAAAGAAAGCCTGAAAGGCAAATGAACATCAAAAGTAAAAATATAGCCATGACAAAGTGGTAACTATCATCAATGTTTCCGGAAAAGTTTTTATTCGTTCTCTGTTGAATACGAACAAAATATCAATCATAATAGATAGAGGTCAGAAAAAACCTAAAAGCGTGCAAGACTAGATACCAGGTTATAGCAACAGACTAAACAGGAAAAATACTGACATTTCGAATTATTGAAGGCTGCATAGCGAAACACAACCGCACCTGTGAGGAGCAAATACATTTTGAAGAATACCAAACATATCATAAGAAAGAAAACTTACGTAGGGTATAATAGCAAACCGAATAGCTAACCTGATCCCAACACTGAACATTTCGCTAAATGTAAACAGTTCTGCTTTAATCAAAGCCGTATAATCGTTTATGGGTATCACCTCTTGAAACCTCCTGGTTTCAACGTCTTGGTTCATGGTAGGGGCTAGATTTTGGAGCCCATCGTGTTTTACAATTTTGTCAACGTGTGTCGATTAAGGAACGCTACTAACACTGTGGTACCGGCGGCTGCGAGGGCGCAGGCGCTCCGAAGAGGTCGCTTGCAACCTGAGCGACGGGGGCGGCTCCGGGGGCTACCCCGGCTGGCACCGAAAACAGTCCCGTATCAGCGAATGGGTTCAAATTCAACAAATCATCTGACGCCTACCATTCACACAGGCAGAAAAAATAAAAGCATTAATTAAACATTTGCTTAGCTAAAGTTATTGGAAATGTACAAGGACATCACCACATGGACAGCACTTGCAGTTCGTTATTTATTTACTGTGTTTATTAGTATTTATTGGTTGAGGATTAGGAAACAAACAAATCTTTCAATATCGCTTTTTAGGTTAGCATACAGATGTCTACAAGATGTAGAGATCCATTACTTTATCCTTATACTGGAAATATAGAAGTATTTGTTTTAAGTATATAGATGATATCTGAAGAATCAAGGCATTAAGTGCACTGATTTATTAGCTCAATCAGATATTGAACAATTAAGCTTTCTTTTGGTCATACCTTGTTAGGTGCCGGCGGCACTGACGGTGATTGCTGTTGGCCTGTAACAGGCGGCGCAGAGAACAAATCCATAATGTCGTCAGTCTTCTTGGCAGATTCTCCAGCCAAAAATGGATTCGACGTCTCCGAGGTAGCCGCGGCCCCTCCACCTCCAGCCAAATGTTTCTGCTACAAGGTGTTGCCATTATTGGGAAATGAATACGAATCAGGTACTTCCCGTTAGACTTCGTAAACTCTATCGAGATCAAACAAGACAGCCATAATCACAGCAGCTCGAGCAGCGGCCAAAGATAATAGGAGTACATTTAATGAAGAAGTTTAGGATCTCAACAAATCAAATAACAACTGAACAGTAACGGATAGGTCGGATCAGGTGGAAGCTGAACCGATGTAGAGCATCACCGTGTTTGTACGTAAGATATAGACAATTGCAGAAAGACGCTGCTGTTGTACTGACAAAGATTGGCATTGATCTTGAATGCAGTGATGATCGAAACACTCAGGACCGTAACCTTATCTAGGCGTCACCACTATTTGGTACGTTTCTCTACTATCGTAAAATAGGCGTATATATTGCAATTTGTAGCGGTCTCATAAAACTGAAAGCAAAAAAAAGCCATGCTACAGATGTCGAACACGTGCTCGAAAAGACGAACAATTAGTCGTCTACCGTGTGCGAGACGTATTACAGGAAAGTTTTAAACAACTTTTGCAGAATGCAGCACATAGTTATTAACTAATGACACTAAATCAGATATTGGTAGCCTTATAAGGATATTTTTTTTTATAGAAACCGTACAGTGCAGGCATATTTTCAGAATCTTAGATAGCAAAGATCTTCTTTTCAAGCGGAAATAATTGTTATGTCGGTAGTTAGTACTATCGATAAACCGTGTCACTTCCTTTGTGTACTATGTTTTCAGATGTCTAAATTGTCAAGTTTCGAGTTACATCGCACAGTTATACACAACATGAGTATTATATATACACAATGAACATCTACCAATACAGTATTAGAATTTCAGCAGTCTTAAATTATGAGGCTAATCACTAGCAAAGCAATTGTACGGTAGTTGCAAAACAGCTAATCTACATATTCTGAGCTTATACAAGGATGTACGATCGAGTCACGATCGCATTACAGAATAGAAAATAAGTGAAAAATTTCAAACCCAAAGACATTTACAATAGCCGGGATAGCGTCCAATGGAGTGAACAAATCGTTCACAGCTTTTCGGTTCGTGTTTAAACCGTTATCGTCAAATCCAAATCCGACTTCACCTTCACCACCGTCGTTATTATCAGTATCGTGTACTTGACGATGCAGCTCGAAAGGTCGCAGGTTGGCCTGCTGTATCTCCGATCTCTTTTGCAGTAGTGCAGCAGACGCCGACGGGGGCGGCTGTATTTTGTACGCAACAAAACCGTCACCAACAAAGCGTGATTGCAGCATCCATTAAGTGATTCCAATCAGTCATTGAGCAAATAATCATCAGCCCAGTGCAGCAAGCAACATGTAGTCAATAAAAGGAAAACATTTTTAAGCAATTACACCATCGAGTTGTATACATACAACAAAGGTTTTCGTTCCGCATTCCAACCTAATGTATGCCTAAGTATGCACGAACAGATAGTAGAGTAAAGATCGTTATCTGTACGTGTATATATAAAGTAGCAATAAGGAAAAAATGAAAAGCAATTGAGAAATAAAAGAACACGGTTAAAATATAAGGAGATGTCCCATTCGCAAGATGCCACGTTGCAACATAGTTAACATCAACTAGAAATTGTTGGACCGTTTTTTCGTTTGCAGATCACTTTGCTGCCGTTGCTAAATAGAATGCCTTACCTCCTGATCCTGGAGGACTCGGTGCAAAGAGACAAAAAAAATTAGCACAAATTAGTGTGTGATGAACGCCTTGATGCTATTGATGTAAACACGGTTATCATTACGGTGGTGAACCTTATTAGTTAGCTTATATATCTATGATTTTGAAATATCCGTTATCAAATAAGACAGAAACGTGGACAATGCGCTCTCAACAAATTTCAAACAAAAACTGGATAGTATATTTGGATTCAAAAATGTCATTAATTTAATGGCAGCAATTACCTATATCAAAAATACACGTCATCATACATCAAAAATAGGCAACTACCGCCCATTAAAGGCGTTTGGCGGGTTACTGTATAATTGCCAAAGTGCGCAAAATTCAGACAGAATTCGAAGGGTCACAGAGTCTGACTATTCATTATAGATGTATTGCTTATATCATAGCCCGCATAGCACGCGTCAACGAAGCCGTCACTCATGCTTTTAACCAGAAGCACTTAATTTAGAGTTTCTCTGAGGAGATATTGATATGAGGTAACTCACTTGTGGGGCACAAAGATAAACGACATCATCGTCATCATTACCTTCTGATGTGCTTTGCCTGCGAAATACGCATGTGTGTTACTGTACAAATTCGGTAGGCCTATTGTAACAATTAAACGTCTATTTGTCCGCGTACTAAAAATCACACACTATGCGTATGGTACAACAATCATATAGAGAAAATCCCAAAACATGTGCGCAAACGCACCCAAGCACCACTGGGCTTTCGCTTGCATCATTCGACGATGAAACAGTCAACATCATTTTTGTACAGCTCTGCAATGGCTCTTTGATAGTGCTATACACTACATGAGCCTAGGGGGGTGAAAAATAAAATACAGTAAAATAACGAGCAGTACGACACGATGTTACTCCCCTTACCTTGAGTTTGCTAAGAGCTTTCTCTTCCTCGAGAATCGCCTGTCTAATAGATTCATCGTGGGAGTGCGCCGAATTGCCGAAAGATGTCGACGTAGAAGCCAGCACAGACACAGCATTTGAAAATCCGTTAGCTGAGCCGCTGTTAGGCGACATTGCCATAGCGAGATGTCATTGATTAACAGTAAATCAATGCAATGGGCACGCAAAGCAAAACAGGAGGCGCGAAATTCGAAAGTAAAACAAGAACACAACAAAACATCAAGACGAAATCAGATGTCGGGAGCCAACAACCATCAAACTGATTGACGCCTCTATTCAAGTTTGAAATATCATAAATCGTACTATTATTACAGCTGTTGATGAATCAGCATCAGTGTTTGGCATCCCAGCACTTGTTCGTCTGCATCACACCCAAATAACAAAAACGGTTTGAAACAAGATATTTATTCGATAGGACATGATTATAAAGAATTCATCTATAACTAATTACATGTAAAGAACCAAACAAACAGATGAATTAGCGAATACACTAAACGAACAGTAAATTAAATATATTAAACAGAAATGATATGTCACTGGCTCATTATAAAACGGCTATCAGCATTGCACAACGAATACTCACACACGAAGTCGTCGGAAAATTACAGAATGTTAACCTCACTCATCTTTAATTATACCATACTTGTCCCTTTTCAATATGCGCGTTTATTTTTTGCAGCTATCGACAGAGACCATGCTTCCTCCGTTACAGAAAATGAAAGACAAATCCGTATACTGGTCATTGGCCGTTCTGTCACAACTACCCGAAGTTAATCGTTCGTTTAGCTTGTTATAGAATTGGAAGTTAACAAAGTTCATCCGTTACGATGGTCTCTAAATCATGCTACACTTATGAAACTTTGTGAAGTAACTTCCACCTATTTTCCTGCAGAATATAAAAGAACAGATATAGGATAAGGCAGCTGCAATCGGTAGGTCTACGTACTTGGGCGGTTGAGGCGTTGACGGGACATATTTGCGTCCCTCAAGTGTAGCGAGATGCTGTTCCAAGGCGTCTAACAGACTTGATGGTGCCTACGAGTGCCAACGAAATAGGTAAACAAATCATTATTATAAGTAAGTTCGATAAAGTAAAGGTTGGGTATACGGATCTGCTACTGTTTGACTTCGTGCGTAAATATCTACGAATTGTTTATTTTTCTGTTATGAAACCACTAATGTCATTCATAGTAGAGCTATAGGGGATGCTCGAGGCGTACTATATTATGCCTAATCATGATTATCTGTGGGTGGAATATCATGCACTGACAACCGCTTTTCTCGGGGGATTCATGCGCGCAGTTTCTGAAACCGCAATCATTTATCGGAAGGTGGTAGAAACGAAAGCGATACGTACGAGAAGACCATTGGTATTTTCATGCTTAGATTCTAACTAGAAAGCAATCGGTTAGTCGCCTGATACCTCGGAATAAAATAGATCTCGGTAACTCCATTCTTGGTTTACATTCGCACAACAATTTTTACTTGATATTCCTTTTTTATCAAAATGTGGGCATGAAATGTTAATATTTGCACTTGCTTGACTCTGCTGTAAAGGGAAGTCAAAAATAAAGACATGAATTAGTCGACCATTTTTGCTTAGGAGCTAATGAAAACAACATCGATAATTGGCAGATGGTATGCCGCACTGAAATTATAGTTTAAATCGAGCGCTCGAAAACCGTTTCTAACCAAGCGTGCAATGGCGATTTATAAAGAACACATCAAGAACGCCTAACGAGAACTATTTTTTTAAATGTGTGAATTAGAAACATAGAATACGGGCAGCCGTTACCACTTGAATTCAGTTGTGGTTTGACTGTTTACAAAATGCCGACTATTTAATAGAGATAGCAGAACAAACTCACCCTGGTAAGGTCTGGAATATCGCCTTTATCTATGCCTATGTTTTCTGCAACCTTGAGGAACTCAGCAACGCGGTCCATGCGCACGAGGAACTTCTTATAGCATTCGAGAGCTTCCCGGCATTGCTTCTTTTGAAGAGAGAAATACTTTTCGAGAATGTTGATAATAGCGTCATTGTAGCATGCGAATAGTCGAATCAAGTCCTATTCAAACGACAGAAAGTTTATTTTCGCTTGCCGGCTCATCACCATTATGGGCACTATCAGTGTATCGCTATGTATGGAGCACAATTTTTTTGTTCATTAGCACAAACATTTAGCGTTCTCTGATCGTAAACGTCATAGACTAGCCCTCCAATAACAGCGGTACCTACATATTGCATCGATCTATAGATTTCTTACGGTTAAAATAACAGCACATTACATTTTCTTAGTTAATGCTTCATCAGCTATACAAGTACTCTTCTCTCTTTTTTTTTTTAGAGTTATTGCAATGCTTAAACGAAATAAAACCGGAGGTTGAAAATCAAGGGGCAGGCATCCATATAGTTGCCACATAGTGAGTCTGTCTTTTCAGGTTGACTCTTCAAAGCCTGCGCTTACTTTAAATAGGAGCATAAAAGCCGCTGTAATAACGCCGTGCGATAAATCTGAGGGCGAAGCATCAAATTCGAGAAGAGCATCGAGCTGCGCCTGGAGCGGCGGAATCGTCTTAAGGAGTTTGTCCATTGGTATCGTCCGCATTGTGCCCTGCTCTTTTCCACGCTTCACCTAACGAATTACGATGAAAAACATCATTAATAAATGGCTATTAACAGGAAATAATATAAGGCAGCAATTAACAGGCACGCATTTGTGAAAACGCATTTTTTTTCATGACCTTGAAGTAATGATCAGAATGAGCATGTTAGCTCGCCGATATTAGGGTTAACTGTAAATTTTGCAAAATTAATCTGATAGATTCTACACTCTTGAAAAAGCTATAACCACGGAGTGGATTTAGGATTACGTTCCGTGACGGACACTTCAATCATGAACGGGCTCAAAATAGTTTGACAAGTCAATTTGCTATGGCCTTACGTCATGAGAAGTTACCACTGAGCCATGAAAAGAAATCTTTGACGCTGGCTACTTCCACTGAGACGTCAATCCAAGCAGGAATATTATGCTTAATCAAAATAACCTATAATTAAAATATCGCAAAAATCTTTCCAACTGATCATCAAATGTGATCGAAGTGAAAAGGTTCCAAACGTGTATGCCCTCTGACAGATAGTATTGTCAAAAATGAGAAAAGCTGCAGTATTTATCATCGTCTCTAGTGAATAGCACAATGATTATAGTCTATTTGCTCAACGGAACCATGCTCCGCTATTGACTTTTATCAGGTTCAGTCAAAAGACTGGTTAAAAGCAGTCCCACAGAACCCTGTGCAACGTCGCGAGCAGATATTCCGTTGTTTGTTTAAATTTACTTTGCTGATACGTTTCCAATGCTCACGTATAGCTGTAACGTACGAGCAGAGACAGTTCTGAAATCACTCGAAGTTTAAATAACTTCCAAGCTAAAGTTCAAATTGATCATTCTAGAAAATTTTATCCCTGATTTCACTATTTGCAATAGAGAGTTTTTATAAAAATGAAGAACGCGTCATCTTTGCATCCATTTCTACTTTCCATAAATGCAGAGATTCTCCTTTTGAGGTAGTGCAGCGGACAATGGAACCCGAGCCCTAACTATTGCCCGGATACAACTGAATGAATGAAAACAACTAGAATAGGAGTGAGTGAATAGAAAGCATATATAAAAATGTCCTTTTAATTTTGCTGCAGCTCAATTTGATATACCTAACTTCGACGAAGAAAAAGTTTTTTACCTTGCAGAAATCGTATGCTACCATTCGATAGGAGAGCGCTTTTTCATTTAAATACTTCGAGTGTCGACGTATGAACGTCGCCATCTCGGGTCCCTGAAACGTGAAACGAAGAGCAAACAAACACAGGCAGCGTTAGAAATGTACTGAAGGCGATACGGTACTTAAATCTAGGTGATATCATGGCACGTATAAGTTCCATAAAATATAATTTCCATGTTTTATTCAGAAATATGCTTTATATGGTATTTGAAACAAGCGGCTTTTCTACATACAATAATTCTATTTACAGGCAGCGAAATTTAGAATAACGTAACAAATTGAAATTACTGCGTGCTTGCTTCCGGTTCCTCTTGCCGTTTCATATCTTTCAATCCATCTATAGTTAGCTAAACTCGTTACAGCATCGACAGTTAGGATAACTACCAATAAGTGACAGAACCTCGTAAAATAATTATTGGAAAACTTTTTCCAATGATCTTTTCTCGGGTATTCTAGATTTAGCGGTAAACATTCAAATCAACAGTACATGAACATTTCAGGCGAATAATGTTTGACTTTCGCACATTTTTTAGACCATTGAGGTCAGTATATTGGAAAATGATCCTTGAAGCTTTATAGTAGTATATCAATATTCAGGTGTCTTGAGGTGTTTTTAACACCTCGGGCTTATTTTTTTCTCTTATCACCGTGCTTATTCCAAATACGCGAGACTTCAGCATGTGGCCTATAGTTCTAGTTGTTATTCGTATTTTAAATAAACTATATTCTTTTCTATCACTTCTATTGTTAATCTAGTAATCGAGTGAAAAAAAAACTTACATCAGTCTTGTAGTCTAAGACGATACATTAGACCTAACTAAGTTGGCATAGCCTCTATTAACTTATCCTGTTGATAAACAGGAAGATCCAGATAGCTTTAATTAAAAACCGTTGTCAGCTACATATGAATGCTCGTTCTGATATTCAAATGTGATGTTTACAAAGAGACGGCTCGCCGACAAGAACTCTAGCCCCAGAACTGGATCTCTGAAACTGAAAATTTCAGGGAAATAATTTTGTCACCTTTAATTTTCTTATATGTGTTGCTAGGCATGTCCGTCTGCCGTCCGGCAATAAAGTCCGTCTTCAATCTATACACTTTTACCGGTCGGAAACTAACTCCTGGACGAGTTGACCTAAACTATCTACGTTTAGTACAACAAAAAGAAATACCACACGTAACTTAGCTTGAAAAATCCAAACCCTATTTCGATAAAAGTTCCAAACAAACTTTATCACTCTCGCTAATTCTTCTAAATTGAAGTTCCTAAAATCTGTCTGCAGTTTCCTCGCTTCGATTTAAAGGCCTCCTTGAAGCCTTCGCCGTCCTCCTTCTCTCGCAAGTTAAGCAAGAGTGCGTTCCTGCTATTGACACAGTTTGATCCAATGTGTTTATCTGTGTATATATATATATATGGCCTACCGATAGCCCGCCTCGTGATTCAGTTTTTACCTGTGGCGTGCCGAGACGATCGTTGAAGGATGCCAGGTTGAAGGTGCAGTTCGAAGAGGCTAAGTATTGCGTGAAGCGCTCGCTTCCATAACACATCAGATGGTGAACTGTAACAAGCGATTTGAAAACGACGATCCACGAACCGTTCATAGTCCGCTCTATGAGTAGATTAGCCAATTGAGGAATAGATACGTTTGGCTCATTTGTGCAGTGAAGTAAATCTGTGAAATAGGCAGACATACGCGCAATTAGAATTTGTTGGCATAACAACGGTGCTATTCCAGTAACGGTACTCTCAAGAACAATACACCTAGGGTTCACATACAGTACTTGAGTGGTCTGGGTCTGGGTCTGGATATTTCGTTTGAAATCCCAACTATCATACAGAGAGAATACATATCAATTGAGGCATACACAAACAGGTCCTTAAGCGACATCTAAGCTTCCCTCGAAAACATTCCTACCGGTCTGATAACCACAATACAAATTTCCAATTCAAAACATTTGACCAAGGTTGTGGTTATATTGTACACATGCGTAACGAGACAACAGAAACTTCCGGTGACCTCCTCCTGACAAACCTCATGAACCGCAGACAGCGACTAGCCATTTACTTTAGTAGATATTTTCGTTTGTTAAACCAAAAATATTGCCATACATTTTCCTGTTTCAAGTTAGTTTTGTTCGCATGAGGGCGTGTATTTTCCGTTAGATATATGGCAGTTATAAAACGTACAGATAGACGCCTGCTCCATTGCCATTAAGGAATGAGCCTAATCAAGCCACGGTCGACCCGTCAGTTCTGAATCAGTCGACACTGATCTAGTGCCATGCGTAAAATTGAAGTCATTTGGGATTGTGCATAGGCTGATATTCAAGATGATTAATTTCGACAAAACACTGCTCATAGTATGCGAGGCATGCGTCTCTTCAAAACCATCTAATCTTGTGTGCATTCGGGAATTGATTAGATTATGTTTATACTTACTTGAACAACGTGGCCATAAACTGGGGGCGACGAAAGCCTCGTTCATAATTAGTAATAATCCCAAATTTTGAACCCATTCCGTGCGCTAAATAAACAGAAAGTCTAAGGCAATAACGGAATATCCGCGACGCAATACGAAGGGTAACAGGATTCAGTCAACCGATCAGCCGACGAACATGTTGAGAGCATCAATGTTTTCGATACAAAGCAGTGATGCATACCAGTACAACGAAATCGAGGTACTTTCAGCGCAGAATACGAATATAATGGATCTTAGCCCTAGCCACCCATTTCCATGTAAATAGAATTAATGGACAAGAAAACCTATGAATGTTCCACTATAAAAACATTCATAGCAAGTATTCACAGATGAGTTAGATTACCCAGAAAATAAACAGTACGAATTGTCTCACAACATCTATCACTTATCGACTTACTCAACGCGAATATAGTCTGCTTAAATTCGATCTTTAAAGACGTGCTACTCGTACAGCTTGCGGGATAAGTGTTAGGACTCTGAACCAGAAAATCTCCAGCTCCAATCTACTGAGAGTTTGAAAATCCCAAATGCGAAAAAATATGCCTATAGGATATTACGCATAAGAGGACTTAGGTACCAAAGATCAACAATAATCGATGTAGCTACGGGTACAGGTAAGTAACACATAGAAAATTTTCATGGTGCGGCTATATTCGAAATTGCCGCTTGAAGAGTCAGATCTTTTGCAACACTCTCACATCGGTATTAGATGAGTACAGCATATCTGCCTATTAAACTTAGGAAGATGTAAACATTAATGTGAAACTAAAAGTGTGTTTTGAAATTGGTTTTTCGGGGGTCATAAAGAACACCTCTCACTTCAACTCCCGTCATTGCGAAACACTGAGTGTCGGAATCCGTCTAAGTGGCAGACCTCGTCGTCTTAATTCCTTGACTAACTGGAAAACCATTAAGTAATATCTCATGGGCAAAAAACTTCTCTACGTAGGGTATTTCGGAAATAGTTCTCTGCGAATCGTAAGCAAGAGAACTGTCGCCAGATATGTTTGATTCTAGGGAGGTGTTGTCCTTACTAGTTGCCTTGTTTCTGAAACTCCGCTCAATTTTGGGTCAGTTAATCACGTGTCAGCAAATTATTGCCAGAAGTCTTACTCGGAAACTTGATAACGATCATTGGTTTCTTTCTAAATTTTTCTCGTTTATGACAACTAAACTGTGATTTTGAAACGACTCTAACCTTATCTCTGAGCAAACATGCAGGTCCAGTTATTTACTCGTTCTAGCCAGTCATTTACTGCACTCTAAATCTCGTAATAAACAATCCAATGAATTTGGTTATTGGGTTTTTATGCATAGTTTAGCTTTCCTTAGTTTATTCGACGGTCGATGTTATTTTTCTCCTATTTTTATTTCGAGTTTCTTTGATATCTAAGTGTTTATGCTTGACTATAATGTACATACTAGCGCATTATGACACCTTTGATGTCCCTGTTTTTGCTTATTCCTGCTTTGCGTAGCTAGTTGGCACCAAAAAGTAAAAAGAGAAAAAAGAGGAGACTCTAGCCTAACATATATATATGCCCTAGGCTAGAGTCTGCCGCTGATGTATATATATATATATATATATATATATATATATCAGCGGCAATTTAGTTAATAATAAACATTAATTCGTGTTTTCATGCGGAAAAAAATCTGGGACTTTTACATGACGCTGCGGCAAACAGCCGGAATAATAAAAGACCTACGGTAGACATACTTCTTAAGTGAGTACGACATGAGAACACCAAGTCTTGTTTTTATATGTTTATTTCGTCTGTACAGGTCAGTAGTATAGTAAAAGTTAATAAAAACCTTTATCACTAGTATGAATCAAGACTTCCATATTGAAACAAAAGAAAAAGAACAAACCCTGGACAAAGTTAGACAATTCAAATAAGCTGAGAGTTCTGGCGAGTGCGTGTTTAACCCCTAAGTAGGTGGGAGAAAAAACGTATACCTGATGATATTAGCTGCAGTTTGCTTATCAAGAACACTAATGCTGGGCTACACCGATCCTTCTCTGACTTTACTCTGTTTGCCGTAGAGTTATATGTACTCAAGAGAAATACATTGACCCTTTATCTCCGCATGACGAAAAGGTCTAGTTATAGTTAGCACGCACTAGCGTGTCCTATACAGCGCAATTGTTGAGTTATAGACTTTATCGAATATATATTTTTGAGGTAAATAATTCAACAACGGAAGTTACACGACCCCTGAATCATATTCACAGGCTAAATAATCAGATATCTTTGACGCGTGCGTGCACTCCGTTGCTCTTATTCAAACGAACAAAGTTTCAGGCCCAGAACACAACAATATAGCTACTCAAATCTAGACGAATCCAGGAAATTTAAACTAAACTATATTTAAGGAGCCGAAACCCGGGTTTACCTCTATGTCATTTTTGTTGATATCTGAAGCTGCGCTTTTATTTACTACGAACAAAGCCTTTTAAAATATTTAAAACTATTTCGCAATGTTTTAGATCTTATTAGCGTTAATTTGATTCGCAAATAATATTTGTTTGAAGCGCAATTAGTAGCATCGGAGCTCGCTGTGGGCTGCGAAGTTATACTAACAAATTGCACAGGTAGGTCTCTTTGGCAGCCGCGTTTTGCTTATATATGGTTACGGCCCTTGCTAAGACATAATACTACCAAAGAAAATGTAGTTGTCTGAAATCCGTCAACAACCTGTTCTAATTCTACGTAGGTTATTTGAGCAGACCGACTTAAATGTCATGTTACATATTCCTCACATGGATTCGTTCCTTTCCAAAAGGATCACAGGAGTTTTTAGGTAAAGAATTTTGTCCACCGCATAGCAATTGCTTACGATGTGCTCTTTTAGAACAGCCACGATTTCCTCATGCATATCATAGTTTACCAGTGTTAACGAAATTGCTTTCCATCCACGATTCCTGCAACTATGCTTCGAAGCATATAACAGAACATCATTCAATTCAATGCAAAAACAGCATCCAAAAATTACTTTTGCCCAACAACTCACTGATAATTAATCCAATAGATAGTTCTTCCTTTGCACTCCAAGAAAAAAGCGATCAGGGAATAACGTACTTTGACAATGACGAGCCAAAGCAAGTCGTTTCCAGCTCGCTCAAATAATCGTTGCATCCTTTTGTCATCTATTGGCTGTCATCTACGCTTCTCTGTTGGCCAACTGTCAGCTGATAAATTTCTCTAGTGACTGCACAGTAACATTTCCCAGGCCTCTATCAAATGGCCGTACAGTAAATAAGATGGAGATTGAATTTAACAGATAAGCTCAACTCCAAGGATAGTTAAGCTAAGTCGCGTTTATATTATTAGACATTCAGCTTGCGCACGCCCCCTACGTGAACAAAACGTTTGAGATCTATTTTTAATCAGTTCCATCCACCGTCAAGATGAGCGCAACACAGTTGCACTAGGTTATCGCCATTGTAACTACTAAATCGGTTTTCCCTTTATGCTGCCTGCTTGAATTTTTTTCGTTCCTACAATTAGCCTGAACTCCTCTCATAGGCATAGCGGTTCGATACCAGTTCTTGTCGGTTTGCACGTCCTACTTTTTCAATTTTACTTGGGTGCCTTGACAAAAATAGGGTTTTGCGACTGTATTGCTTGTTAACTGGCGCACGGCCCACAGCAATGGACGTGTCCTGATATTACAGTTGCTGCCTCTGACGTTTGTGTTTTGATTGATTCTCTGCGTGAGTGAAGTCGCAAGTCTGCGTGTATATCGACTCATGTATTCGAATATTCGTGTCCCAATGGCTGCTGTATTGGCCATCTCGCAGGCTCGTATTAGAATCAGAGGCTACAATAGCAAGCTTGTAGTGATGGTGCTGTTGATAGTTGCCTCGTTTCAGTAGCAGGATGTATTTTGTTTGTCTCCTGCTACTGCTCTAATCCTAGCTGCTGCTGTTACTGTTGTCGACGTTTGTTATAATTGCGACGTAGAAAAGAAGGCAAACGTTTGCAGCGTGTATGGCCCGCCTGCTTTTAGGGTGGAACGCACGTGCCACTCGAGTGTAACACCCGCTTTACTCATTTGCTCACTGAGTCACTCAGACTCTTTATTCGGCATTCGACGTCAACCAACATGAGCAGTAGCACTTGTGGTACGGAAATCGAAAACTCCCTTCGATCGGCGATGCTCGAGATCGATAGAAGAAAAGGATGGAGTTAAATGGAATTAACAAGAGAATACGCACTCGGGACGCCGCAACAGCGGCATCAACTGCGGGGCTCAGAAATACACAGCATAGCAACAAAACATACCGGACAGGCAAACACACAAATCGACAAGCAGACACCTAACGCTATATCCCACACAAAAACCGACTTTCAGGTCGTCGTGGAGCAACGAAATACGATCGGACGATGAAAAAGGTCTGCCCGCACAGTTCGCAAACAAGACGTATAGCAATATAAACGGAAACTAAGATTTTTTAACTAAAAAATATAGCTATTTGAGCGCTGCAGCTGTTACCCGATGCTGATAGTAATTCTACAATTAACGGCGAGAACCGTAACCGTCCGCGAAAAGTCCCTTCTTTAACATAAACCTAAACAGCAGCAAATTTTCTCCGAATTCCAGCGAAGCCACATAGACGCACGGCTTGAAGCAGTGAAGTTCTCCAAAGTCGGTTTGTGGGCATGATTCAGAGAAGCGCGCTCTCCGCTGACACCGTTCCATTATCTCTGGCACTGGCTGGACACATCGGTCCTCCCGATAGTACGACGATCTATACTTGTTCTACAGTGTTTAGGTACATCGTTTTGCTGGCACGATCAATACTGATGATATATTTAGAACAGACAGTTTTTTTGTTTGTTTAAGGATAACGAGGTTAGAAGTGTTCTTTGTTTATTATTTTTGTAAAGTCTTCGTAAAATTCAAATTGTTATCTTCAGACGCCTGATTACAGTCCTTCTGTCTTGGTATTTTTATACGGACTAGGCGCGTTTTAAATTGGTACATTAAAATCGCGTTCTTTTGTGGCTTCGATGTGTTGATGTTGAGCAAAAGATCAGGGTCAAACGCGAACCTGCAACGTTCCGTTGTCGCAGAGTCGCTGCAGTAGCAGAAGCGAATGCGCCAGCCAAAACGCGAACGTGCGATAAAATATCGCTGTTTTCAAGGAAAAAATTAGTGGAATGACACAAACTTGGCGGCAAACGAAGGCCGAAATGAGCATCGGTCTCATGCTCCGCATGAAAAATTTACCAACATCCTTAACCGAAAAGGAACCTTAGGAAAGCCAATACGAGCATTCAGTTACTGCTTATGACTCACAGTTGTCATTGACTTATTTATAATTCCGCTGTAAAGGAAACTGTATTAGTGAAATTCTTAAACGTCTGTTACCGAATAGCTTAACTTGGTTTGCCGGTTCAATTTTCGCACTAGTAGAAGAGAATTAAATAACAAATTTTAAAGCAATTAGTTTGCTGTTGAAATTAATGTGTGACGAATTGGTATTTAGGAAAGTGCTTGCACATAATAGCAGGCCGACCTAATGCCAAAAGAGCTGATTGGAAGGAGGTTTCGTAGACATTTTTATCCACAATGCAGTTAGATGCATAATGTAAAGACGTGTTTTACAATGAAGGAAAAGGTTTATTAAGATGATGAATATTCACTCGAGAAGAGTGACAAATTGAATTATTTACTTGGCAACTGTGATAGCTAAATATGTTATTGTTACTGTTGTTATAATTATTTTTATATATAGGATCTATAATATGTACTCACAGTCAAGATGTTTTTTCTTCGGTGCCATTAGCTCCTCGGTGGTGGCCTTTGCAACCACCCTGGCCAATCCTTGACCAGCGATTGTATACCGGGCTGCCGTCAGCCGGTCGTTGAGGCTCTGCCCTGATGGCCTGTTCATGGTGCCGCTGTTTATGTGCTTCTGCTGTTACGTGTTAGTGATAATGGTTAGGTGGGTGCTTTATACTAAACGCTAAGCTAATTCAATTCGTGACGAACCTCGTCTTCCACCTTAATAGGGCTCAAGACTCTGTTCGAACTATAATAAGGGTAAATCCGTTCCGCGCACTTTTGCCTTGCGTCTGCCTCCGCTTCAAATAATTCACACGAGTTAGTTAACGTCACAATTATCGCTTCGAAATATTCCACTTACAACCGCACTTGTGTCTTCTAGGCCTGTTTTTTTGACGTCTTCTCGACGGCCTATTGCTGGCTGGCGTTTCTGCAGCTAATAATGGCCTACTAACTCACTCGCATTTCGGGGCTTTCAAAACGTCGGCTCACTCCCTACTGTAATGAAAGGCAAAAATGCACCTAGGGGTAGAACTATACATAATAGAGTACTTATGTACTCTCTTTAAGAGGGAATCAGTTATTATTATTATTATGGCCTCTCATATAGTTGTTCCAATTCCGTTAGCTCCCTTTTTCTCCTCTACGGTGTAATAATCTGACCCTGGGTGGGATATTTCGGGTTGATCATAAAGGGTCTCTAGAATACACAATGCGAATGGATACGCACTCAGTCGTCACCGTTGTCGAATGCTGGGAGACTTGCACACGGTCACATCAATCCCTTGCCAGATCACGTTCCACTTCGAATGAGTACTGATGGCGTTGTAGTGACGACTGACACCCACTGTCTGTACAAATTAAGAAACAAGAAACGACTGACAGGAAAAAAAGTACAGGACAGACTGCCTAACTTTAGCTCTCTGTCGACGACCTCACGGTAACGTGAACGCCTCCTCGAGTACGCACAGCCGCAGATTAACCTTTGTCGTTAGAAAACGTTTGCCCAAATCATTGACGTTCAGTGCGTCACTGGGTGTATTGCGGGGGGGGAGGGGGGTCACAGTAAACAGTTATTACGATAACCGAGGTCGTTACATTGACGTAATTTGCCTATGAAAATTGCCGTTACTGCAGTAAGAATTGAAATAGGTATTCTTGTAGTGATGGTTACGGGTACTGAACCAGCACGGCGATCACTAGACGACCGTCATAGCACAAGGAAAGAGTGCAGCTGTAGTAGAAATATTAGGCAAAGACGATGATGCCCACCACACCTACATTGAACACATGCGATTGCACATCAACACTACGCTGCTGCGATTGGCGATATGGCCGCCTTCGCCGCTGCCGTCGCCATTGACAAAATGAGAAGGACACTACAATCCCTCGTTTGATTCGCCTCTGCCACTTCTGTGAACCGCCGAACGCCGATGGTCATCTATTGTCCGTTATCCACGACCAGTCGAATCAAGCTCTACACTGCGTTAGCAAACATGCAAGACCCTCGGAATGAACAAACGGTATCGAGACAAACCCGATTAGTAGTCTGTCAGAGAGTCAGCCAAAAAGTTTTCCACTCAGTAAATCAAGTAAGTCACTCAGTTTGCTCGTTGTCTTGGAACTGATTGAAAGCAAGTACCGCTGGGGTTAGTCGATTTATAGTCATATGCAAGAAGGCTTCTGTTGTTGTACCGCACATTTGTTATTTGCGATGACGACAATGATAACGAGCGATTTGTCGATAACTCACGGACAAACCGTACAACTTATCAACAGTTTACCTTTCGTACAACGCGAGGCTGTCCTTGTCAAGATGGTGACGCTCAAAATTCGTTAACAGTCAAAAATGACAAATGATCAGCGGTTGAAACAGCAGTCACTCTCGATCACACCCGGGCACAACGCTTGTCAATCGCGGCTACCCGGCGATTGACTATGCTAGACACACCATTCATCGGCTTTTTACCACCACTAGCTCGATCCCTCTGGCTGTCTGACTGTTGCCTCCTGCCAATACTTATTCTACTGCTGCTGCTGCTGCGGCGGCGGCGGCGGCTGATCTGCTCCAGCGCTGCCGCTACTTTGGCCACTGTTGTTTTCTACGCTGTGCATGAAGGAATGGACGGTACAGATGACAACAACGGCCTCGACAGCCCTATGCAATACTATCAATGACTAGACGACACAGAGAGCGCTGGAGGTGTCTGAGGCCGTAGTCACCTATCAGCAGCACCAGTGAGCCACCATACAAACTGCGCAAGGATAAGGTCGAGCGATAGTAGATGACGATGGTAAACGACGACCATCATTATCACGAGAGATAGCTCCGCCGTCCAAATTCCGCTGCTGTCATGTAGAAATAGCGACGGATGAATGGATAGAGACAAACGGCAACAGGCGAATCAGATAGAATGAAGCACAGAACATAACAATACTAAATGCACGACGAACTAGAGAGGGAGAGATAGAGAGATAGATAGATAAAGTTAGGAGCAGCAAACGAGCCGGCTCACCGTCAAATCGACCGCGTTCGTAACACGAACTAGGTTCACTCGATCGAAGAAAGCTGGTTCACATTTAGTTTAAATTAACCCCTAACAGGAGGCGGAAAAAGCGCGAAGCAAACTAGAGAAAATAGGAAAAACAGCAAAAATATTTTTCTTTTCCTTACATGCCTTTTTGGAACTTTGACAAGTATCTGAATTACGATAAATACTATATTTGACTTCAGAACAGAATTTAAAATGGGACAAGAGCATAGAAGCTAGAAGCAAATTCGTTTACAATCTTCATAAGCAGACCTTCTTAGCTGATTTTGCTAGCATCATTTTTTTTTCTTTTTACATCTAACTGCAGACCCCAACATTGCCTAGCATAGCGTCAATAGCACTGTTGCTATTAGCACTTTTACCAGCAATGATACTTAAATCGATTTAATTGGGTAAAATTTTCGACTTTGTTATGGCGGGGGCCAGTGCGTCCCCGTCGCAGCAGACGACAAAATGCCATCCTGTTACACGCACAGATATAACCAGCTATGCACCTGATTCGATAATTGTCGTCTGCTAACATTGTTCTTTTTGCTACCTTTTGCTGTTCTCGAACGCATGGCGCCGCCCGCTTCACCGGCGGCAGTGCCTTTTCACCTCCTCCCTCGCTACTTTTTCGTCGTCCTCATCGTTTATTATGGTGCAAATTAGATAGCGCGTTAGCCAACTGCTTGTATGGTTGCTACTCTACTTTGGGAAACAGTTAATTGGCTACTCGTCCGCGCTCTCTCCGCCATGACGGTTGGTCTGCTTGCCCCTTCCCTTACCCTTGACCCGCCAACCGTCCTTTCCACAACTGATTGCGCTCGGACTTCTCTTCCGCCGAGTTGCTGGTGTGTGTATAGGCCTGCGCGTGTATAGACATGCCCGCCCCCTGTGAGCGTGCTCAAAGTGCCTGTTTCTGTGTGTGTATGTGCGCATTTGTTGGGTCCACCCGCCGGCGGTTGTAGCTATTGCCGCCCTGCGTTGTTCTGGGTTTGCTCTTTCTGCTGTTTCTTCTGCTGCCGCCGCCGCCGCCGTCGGAGCCGCTAGAGTACTCTACTGCAGTAAACAGCTGCCGCTTGGTCAGCGCCGCCGACCACCAGCGCCTCCATGTCCAGCAAGAGCAGTGGCAGCAGTTGCGATTCGCTCATCCGCTCGCTCTTACAGTAGATCGGTTGCCTGTGGCGTGTGCGGCCAGTTGGAGGGTAGGCTGATCTTCTCTTTCACTGGTTGATCTCTTCGGCAACAGCCGCAGCGGAGTGGACCAACGTCGTGACTATAGCGGCTGACTGTCGTCGCCGCCGCCGCCGTCGCCGTCGTCGTCGTCGTCATCGTCGTCGTCGTCGTCGTCGTCGCAGGTCGTCGTCTTACCGCTACTGCTGCTACCGCCGCAGCAGCAGCAGCGGGAGCGGCCTGTAATGCTGTATTCTTCACTAACAATAGCAGCAGGCAGCAGCACGGTGTTGTGGGCCAACCAATACTATTATTATTAGTTGTGCTGATGGTGGAAAACTAGTGACTATGTGTTACGTGTGCGTGACTTGCTAGCAACGACTGGGTTGAACTGGCTTGCTGGCCGCTTTCTCCCCGCGCTGCTGGCTGAGCTGTATCCTGTTTTATCTTCTGGTTGAATAGCTGTTGCAGCAGCAGCTGGCGGTAGTGTTGACTACGTACCGTTGTGTTTGTTTGTTGGAGAGTTCTGCTGTTGCTGCTGCTGCTGCTGCTGCTAGAGCCGCCGCCGCCGCCGTCGTCGTAGTTGTTCTGGATCGGATTGTGAACGGCCTGGCGGCTTCGGAAACAGAAACGTTGCTCACTACGGGTGTGAGCTGTGGTAGGTGACGGTCGCTTATGTTGGGCTGCTGCTGCTGCCGCCACCACCACCGCCGCCGCCGCCGCCGCCGCCGCCGCCGCCGATGATGACGACTACGACAATGATGATGATGATTGTAATGCTACTGCTGCTGATGGCGATGATGGTGTTGTTGATGATGATGATGAGTATATAGCAGCGGCTGGGTGAATAGCGCTGTGAAACGACCGCGGTGTGAAGGTGGCTTGATGATGTTGGTGTGTAATCCGTATGAAAATACAGAGAAAGCAAACTGCTTAGATGTCGGTTGTAGCCTCGAAAAATTAGCGCTTGTTGTTGGTGTTGTTGTTGTTGTTGTTTGTGCCGGTGCGGCCAAGCGGCTCGCGTCGCAATTGTGAACGAGAAATAATCCGTTTTCGGATGCGTTAAGAAGCTCGCCGATCAGTTGTGTCCATCTATCATAATATTATTATCTAACCTGACCGTAATACTGTTCGCTCTCGATGAATCGCGACACAGGTACTATTAACTATCCAGCGTTATTTATCATTAGCAAAATGATGCAGTCTCGATAAATCGGGAGTGTGTACACCTGATATACCATCCTAAATTATCTACGCAACGGTGTTGTTTACTTAACCGGAGATCGTATCAAATGTAACGTAAGTGTCTATGTGCGTGCGGGTCCATGTTACTCACGCATTTGCGTTGCTCTAGCTTTTTTTTTGACACATAAGGGCTGAAGTGTGGCTGAGGGATATTTAGGTGTGTCGAAAAGAAACCCAAGAATCTCGCACTGCATCGCTCACTGCACCTGGGCAATACGCCTTTCAGCGAGCAAACCGCAATAAAAACTGAATCAACACTGATAGCGACAGGAACTGTATCTCAACTTGAAAGTGACGATTGTCAATAGTAAAAATGCGCTGAACAACACAATAACCAACAGCTCCGAAACGTTGCGTGGTTTAAATACCGAACCTTCTGTAGTAGTCGTCATTTTTAGAGACATACTGTGTACACCTCGGCTCATCGTAAGTGGTTTTGTGAAAAGCGAATAAACGAAGTGAAGTTTTATGCTGGGGAACAGCACTTTTTGTTTCGCTACGTAATTCTTATAATCTGGTGATCCGTACCCTTAATTCATTCGTTATAACCGTCTGTGTGAGTGTGTGTGTGTGTGTGTGTGTGTGTGTGTGTGTATGTATATGTTCAAACCATTATCGAAGGGTAACTGTATTTCTCCGTGATAACCCTCTTGCCATGTTCTGACATTTTAAGCGTTTCTTACTCCTATACTTTCGTGTGTATTTATTAATAGTTAAATGAGAACTACTGTAAAATTGTCAATACAGAACCGGATCGAAAGAGAATAAAAATACGATCACCTTCTTTGTTTTCGAAGGGTGTAGCCTCAGTACCTTATTCATCCATAGAGCCAACGTAAAAGATTCGTGCCCCACCCGTAACATTGGTAAACGCCTTTTTCGTCTGGCGTCACAAACGCGCGGGATTTCCTGTGTGTCTCTATGCCTATCTAATAGCTCGGCGTCGCTGTAAAAGCAAACGAAAAGAGAACAAGATTTTCGCACTTAAGCAAGACCCCGATACTAATCGTTTAAAGTCACCCTTGTTCTTGTGTCAGCCCATTCTGCCAACCTGTTCTGCAAGCGTCACGCCATTACGTCTCTACTCATCACAACCGAAGCAAATTGTATACACTATTTATTATGTACAGTTACCTTATCGGATGCAGAAACTCATCGTCATCTTCATTGCATTGGGGACGATGAATCGATATCGCGCGCACTTTCTCGACCGGACTGGGGCTCAGTGCTGCCGATGATTAGTTCAGTAAATTGGGGACGATGGGCGAAATGGAACAAAAATTGAGTTCCGAGGCGAGAGAGATGATCCTCTGCGGCAATGGAACAACTGGGGCTGGAGTCGGAGCAGGTGGTGGCGGCGGTAATGGAGTTGTGTCAGTTCCACCGGCGCAAACAAATTCAACTGGAGCTGTCGGCGCCACGGGACTGATTCCCACTGTAACAACGGCATCTGTACAGCATTCGCATTCGTTAAACGCATATTCGGATAGTCTGAACGTCGTAGAACACCTTTCTCGTAAGTAGTTGCTTCAAACAATGATAAATATAAATGAGCAAATAATAAACACATTCAGACAAGAAGTAATAAATAAACGAGCAAGAAGTAAATCCAAACGAGGAAAAGGAGGGCTGATAATTTTTAGTTTTTCTTTGTAACTTTTTTTTTGTAAAGTTACTTTTATTACGCCTAGCTTTTACCGAGCAAATGTCCGAAATTCTTGAGCAGTTCTCAAGAAAGAAGGAGCTGCCTCTGCATAACATAGACCTTCGTTTGTCGAAAAATGCCTCTGAAGTTACATGAGTACAGTTGTTAGATGACGAACTAAGAGTTTTAATAGGCAGACGTTCAGAAATCATTAAAATCATCCTCGTATTGACTGAAGTGACATTACGAACTAGTGTGACATCTATAATAGTAATGACAGAAGTAGCAACGTTGGCGTCTTCATTTATTTACATGGTCATAACAATGAAAGCATCCTAAGAATATATCAGTATAAGAGTTTCTGTCTAAAATTGTGGGTGAAGGCCATATTGGCACATGCCTATTATTGTATACGTGTATATATAACAGCATCTGCATACAATAAAATAGTACGACTTGGCGTAATTGCGACGTTACTGGACACAAGGGATTCATATACACATAGACGCATGGGACAAGTCGACACGCGGCTGCAGTCTGAATTAAACTGCGGTGAAATAAGACGCATAATTCCGTGACGCTTGCTATTGGTACATTTGTGCCTGTTGCGACGCTGATAGACATTCTACAAAATAAGATGAGAGTGACTGAAGGCCACCCGAATAGTAATAGCAGTAATCTCCATACGCGATTGAATTGACAGTCGACATCATACTTGCCCGTGGTTTCTACGATCTACACGCCATATTATACCTACGTCGATTCTGACTTCCGTATGTGAATACTGATATATATATATATATATATATATATATATATATATATATATATATATATATATAGCAGAATTACATTTGGGTATAAAATAACAGATGTGTATACATATATATACATACGTTACTCTGCTTAAAAGGAAAGTCTCATAAAGGTTTACTGTCTTTGTTATGGGAGAGGCAGTTAGATGCGGATTGTTTTATCTTATTTCGTTTTGGGCCTTTTTACAAGTCAGCCTGCTTCTATGATGCCACCACAGATTAGAAAATATCCTATATGGAAAGATCTGTGACGGGATTTGTGTGCAGAGTTTGTTTCCGTCCGGGAGGGTTACGCATGATTGTGAGCTCCCTGAGAAACTAATTCGTCTTTAAGTCCTGAGCAAAAAAGATGCAAGTAATTATTTTGTGTAGTAATTATTTTGGAAAAAATAACCTTCTTTCAAGGATAATCTTAAAAATGAAAAGCGCACAATAACTGAGACAGGTTATGCTTTTCTCTGATTATGACGTTTTTCTTCATAGATGTTACTTTCATAGTCGTTAGGATTACAGCCTCATGTAATTAACACTGGATTGACATCCTTCATCATGTCACGCATTTTAGTATGCTGCCGTTTATCATGTATCATAGGAACTAATTAATTATTATGCAATTAATAGGTTAGTAAGCACGGACGAATTATACGGTAGACGTTATAATTGTAACTGTATTGTAATTAGTTAAAAATTTTTACAAGGGTGACTTTTAGATTAATACGTCTGCTGAAAAATAATACTTGCCCTCATAGTCTTCTGTCGTTTCCTAGCTCAATATGATTTCATTGATTTCGATTCGACTTTAAGGCATCAGTAGTATGTTATTCTACACTCAGAAAAATACCAAATAAATTATTTTTGGCATCCACGCGAAAGAAAGATACGCAACAGAAGTGCCCGTGATGGCTATGTATTATGTTTTATCCTCATAAACCTATGCTCCTGAAGTGTGTTGTAATAATGATAGAAAATGAATAACGCTTGTTTTTTTTCTATCGTACTCGAACTTAGTATATAAATGTACCTGGATCAGTGTTTTTAAATGTGTGTTAAAAAAAATCGGCTTTTATTTTTTCTTGATTCTAACAACTCATTTGATTACTTGTAGCAATTAAATTTTGTTAATTTAGCATATTTTATTGTACGACGAGCGTAATACAGGTGGTTCACCAAAACACTGTTATTTCAGTTAACTTACGTAAGTAGCACCTCGCAGTCACTGTTATAGTTAGTTATATGAATGGTGAATTCACGGTAGTACTTGGCATGAAACTCTAATCATGTATTTAGTATGCTCGGTTATATTAACCATAAGCTTTATCAGCGATACGATTTCAATTACCGTTTCATAGGCAATTAATAGAAGTGTAAAAAAAAATAACACCGTAAAAAGTTTAATGCTTTTAACAAAAGATGTAACTTGTTGCAAAGTCTGTTAGAAATCATCATGAGCAGAAGAATTTATGAAAGCTACTATTAAAACTACACGGCTTTTTCATTAGGGAAATAGTTTACTAAGAAATCAATAGTACAACCATATTCACTCAGTTGTCTGCCCGATTACTCTAAGAGAAACAATGTGGCGCTAAATGTGAAGAAGACAGAAATCCAGGAGACAAATATTATCGGATAAATGAACCTCTTTCATTTCACGCAGATCTTGTACAAAAGGAACGTTACTAGAACAGGAGGACTACTTAGAGGCTTCGCGTCTGATATATTTATGTGATCGGAGCGGGTTTATCGAACCGGATTGACAAATTAGAACAAATTGAGTGATAAATACCTCTCGGAATATTTTTTTTACACTGTATGTTGCTTGCGTTAAATAGTACAAAAAGAAGAACTGGACAAACAGGTGAATTGCCCTGTTTGGTGGTAATTACAATCAACTATTGCCATCGTCCAAATCGGGAGACACAACCACCTTCTTGCAAGGTACCAATACTTTCGTTGTCTGAACAAAGGTTTGTCAGCTTTGTCGTCGTAAATGTAATGAAGCGACATTCAGACAAAAAAATGTACACCAATTTACTCCTTGCTATGGGAAGTGAATAGCAAAATGTAGTTAATGAGTAAACTTTTTAAATCAAAAAAGTGATTCACCTATACCTGAAAGGACGGATCAAAGAAGTGTGTTAACTTTAAAAAAAAGTATTGGTTACTCTCTCTCGAATTCTTTGCGAAGATCCTTTTGGGTAAACCTGGGCTCTCTATTTCGGTGATCTATCTAACGAGTCAGTAATATTTCATGCAATTAATAAACGTGATCCATTATTACATACCTATTTCCACTGCAGTTTTGAATACTGCAGTATTCAATTTTCTGATTATCTATCTATGTTATGGCCGTTACGACGGCCTGATTGCCGCAATTGTGGGATCACTGTCCTATTTTCCGCTTGCTGCTAAGCTCACTTGACAGATGTGTTTTTCATAAAGATAGAATAATGCAAGTGCCACGCAATGCTAATCCAGTTAAGATTACGTTGAGAGGTTATTTTATTTCGTAGGTTTATTGACAATGCGGTTTTATGTACTCATCGAAGCTCAACCACCTAGAAAGTACGCTATCGTATTCGAAATGTGTGTGCTTATATCACTGAATCCAGTATGTTAAACTGTGGTATTTGAGACAGCCTGTAATAATTCGTGCTTCTTTAAAGCGGGGCTAGTTCAAGAGCCATCTGTTTGCGATTAATGTAGTCAATAGACAAACTCCCTCCAGTGACCTTCGCAGATTAAACGTCTGCTCAATTTCGTTTTCGTACATATGTTTAGTAAGATAACTTCATAGGATTTTGTAGACAATACCTCCCTCCCACTTAACTACACGCAGAACGTTTGATTAATTGTTTTAGCATATGGCCATGAATGATTAGAAAATAACCAGTTAGCAAGTATGTGGTCACGACTATGAAAATCGGAAATAAGGTTTTGGCGAGCAGAGATAACAACGCTCGGCTCAACTCGATTTGATACTAGATGCTCTCTGTTAAGTGTTCAAACAATTGCGCGTATAATTTACGCAGCAAATAGTATTCATTTAAACAGACTTACAATTCAACGCTTAAAGGAAAGATCTAGTTGCAAATAAGTAGTATATAAGAAGCTATTTTTTGTCGAATTAAGTGCTTGCGGAATATCGTAAATTAAACTATGGCGACATGCATAGTAAGATACCTTTTAATTTCGTTAAACGAAGTGTATTTTTGTAAATGCTTTACGCAGATCGCGTCGATACATGTATGTATTCGGGCATGAGCGAAATATAGGTACCAATTACAAATATTCAAATGGTTACACATTATTCAACATGTAACTTTTTATCAATTCGATACCGCTACCTATAGGTGCATGTCTGTAATACAATTTTTTGTGCGTTCTTACCGTCTTATACCGCATGCAATTTTTACAGTTCTACTAATCCTATACTTACTCATTTTAGTCTAGACAATGTAAAACGCTTACAGCAGGTCACTTTGTTGCTACACCTCAGTAGCCGCTAGTCACTACAACGACAGCCTGCTGAACGCTTAGGCAATGTAATTGAACCTATAATTTTTAAAAATATCTGGTCTGCTTTTCGGCAAAAAACAAAATAAACATATCAGTAGCACAAGCGATTCATTATTTAAGGTAGACAGCTAGGTAGATTGTTAAATCAATGATTTCCTAGCCAACAGCGTAAATATTTTTTTTTGACTTGATATTGTGCTGTGGACCTATTAATTATACGGTGGAGTAACATTTTGTTTTCAGAAAGAATCATATAAGTCTACAGAAATGATCTGATTGTTCTAATAACTATTGAGATTACTCATTAAAGTTGTAAACTTATTATAGCTCTATACATGGAATACGTTGTCTTTCTATAAAAGGACCTTCCGACAAAAAGCACACGTATTAAGCATGCATTTTACATAAATAAGTTGACTTATATAATATCACTATCCATATTTTACTTCAGTCACGGTTAAGCTCTCACCAAAGCTGAAATTGCTATATTTTTGAATGCTTTGTTCTTGAACGAAATCAAACTTGCATTGTTTATAAATACATGTCCGGTTGCTATTGTCAGAACAATCGCTGACATTCTAGTTATTTCATATATCCTTTTGTCCGATTCGTATTCAAACTAGCGGTACATTACTTACAATAGTTCAGACGAGCTGTACATCGAAAACGTGTGCTATGGCTGGCTTCTCAAATGGCCAATATGAAGCAACGCCAGCTCTATTTGAGCTTACGTTGAATCTGTAGCTTACAATCGGAGTACTATTATTTACTTACGAAGCAAATTAAATTAGTTTGCGTAGCTATTTATTGAAAACATTAGCAAAAAAATATTGAAGTGAAACAAGGACCATTTGATATGAAATAGCCCTTGACAGTGTCTCCCATCTAACGCCTGATCATACTCGATTGTGTTATTTCGCACTCTGAGGCAATGCCGTATTCTTTCTTAAAGGCGTTAGAAAAGTGGAACAAATCGTCGAGGGAGAATCCCAGTGTTCTACCGATGCTTCTTAACAGAGAGTAAATTCATAATCTTTCAAAATGTATTAAGATTTCTGCTTCCTTTCACTAATACTTGGGCTCATTATTGAGTAGTTTTGAAATCTGTTTTACACCATTATAATCTTTGAATTAGACCGGTGAATACGCAAATAATTTCGAAAATTTAGGCTCGATAATTGCTTTACCTTATGACTACGATAAGCGTCGTGTGCATACTGTTAGTAATTTTTTTTCTTTACTTATGACCTCAATTGTATCCAAGACCATTGCTCACGTTTACAAGAGCTTCATATTCTGCTAAGAAGTAATTTTGAAAAATATGATATTATTTACTCCGACGTCTCTAACTTGTAAGCCTTTGGTTTATTGTACTGCGCCCTATCTTTTTACTGCGAGAACATCTAGTTTGGATTGACAAAAGCCGGTTCAAAAATAATCCAACCAGGCTTGACGAGAAATGATTATGTACCCAGATATTTTTTTACTAGTTCTTTTAATTTTGTAATTCAAAGACCCGAGAAAATGTTTAAATGTTAAAAATAGTTTAACAGGAATATGTTTTCTTCTTTTGAAAAGAGCTTCACAAACGGACAAACTGTTATGCACTTCGCACACGAATATTTCCGAAATACAACATCTGCAATGCGTTGCAAAAATTAATACAACAACCTCTAAAGAAGATGATTTGTCTGAAGGTGACATACATATAGGGTACTACGTGTGGGTGATTACAATTACAATGGTATACTATAACTTGTTATTGTAACGCATTTAATGATTTCAAGTGAAGATCGATTTCCTCCATGTCGTAACGATACACACTGAAAACAAACCCGAAGAACCTGCTTTCCCAATTCATATAGTACCATGTTACCCTTTTTGATGGTTACTGATTACTGTAACATATTGCTTTTATGCAGATATATAATAGTAATAATAAAACGTGCACTGAAAGTTTTAACCAGAGCCAATTAAGCCTGTCGGCTTTTTCGTTTTATGTCTGTATGTGTGTGCGTGTTTCTTCCCACAGAAGTTATTGCATCCCCTGCTAACTCGATGATGCAACCTACTATGGACAACATCGAAGTTGACGTCAAGCTTCCGGAGCTGCAGATGCTAAGTGCTGAAACGAAAATTGAACCACAGTCTCAACCAAACGTCCAATGCAACCACGGACAGCTCGAGCAAGGCGTAAAAACAGAACCTTCTCTTCAACCAGCTGCTCCAGTAGCGCAACAGAATTTGCAGCTGAAACAACAACAGCCAGAACCAGACCCGCAGCAATCGTTGGTCAAAGAACTGGTCTCAGTGTGTAAAACATCTCAACAGGATAGTAACGTAAACGTGAACATAAACTCGAACAGTAGTTACTACCCTCATCACGGCAACAACGGTCATCATCATCATCATCATCATCACGGGAATCATCACTCGTCATCACATCACCTACGTCATAATCAAGATTCTTCGAAGGATGAAAAGCACGAATCGAAAAGACACGAAGGCAAGTCACACGACAGCGATCATCGGGACCATCGCAACGATAAACGCCGGAGCTCAGACAGATCAAGAACTGATCAGAAAGACGAAAATAGACAAAGGGATAGTAGGTAAGTGCTTATTATAAAATCATTGGTTAAAATTGATGATTACTTCCGATTACAGGACATGTATTTTCTTGTCATAACATTACTTCCATTAAAGATCCAATGCTTCGAAGAGCGATCGCTTTAGAAGTGTTAAAGAAACTTTTCCTAAAATGTTCAACATTCCTGAACGTTAATGTTGAAACAGCAACACTTCGTATACCGTTGCGATGCAGTGGGATCTCGTACAGAATTAAGTAGAAAATATTTTAGGGCCTCTGTGGGACACAATCAAATGACTGGAAAATTTTCAAATTTTTCTATGTTTAGAAAACTTCGCGTCTTTTTATAAAAGAGTATAGCGTATTTAAAAACGTTTCCAAAGATGTGAGAGAGACGGAATGCGGGAGACAAACGTGTGCGCCTACGGTTGTCAGATGATTCCCTGAACAGTCCAAGCTAGTTTACTTCAATTGCGAAGACATAGAAAAAGTGTACCCAAAAGCAGAGTTTTATGAAAATAAGACTTAGCTAATGACTTTGAAAATCTCTCCCTTTGGTAATTACAACGAGTTATCGCCTATGCCAGCCTAATTTCGGTCTGGAAAAAAAAGGCACAAATTTGCAACTGTAGTTGGTCTATCGACGAGATCGAGTATGAAATACTAGATTTTCTGACTTGCTTTGAAAAAAACAGCGCCTAAGACCTAAATCGACTGTTTTGTACATACTAAAATCGACCCCTTGAGACAGTTGCTCAATAAATAATAGGAATCAGCTTAGCTGTATAGGACAAATCCTATTTTCGACGAAATGAATATAAGTCATTAGAGTGGCTGTACCTATTCTTATATTTAACGCTATCTGAGAGCATCCTCGGCGTTTTTTAGAAAATTAGTGATTTTCTGAACAACTCAAATAAAAGGACAGTCAATTTCCATAGAATTTTAATTTAAATCCCTTAAATATCTAAGATTTCATTAAAAAAAAAAAAAAAAAACTTCTTTTTTGCGGTAAGTATAAGCAGAATTACAAGCAATATTACAATAGTACAAATGGGCATTTATGTTTCTACTTATAATTTGATCTAACCGGCTGTCAATGATGCCTAGTGAAATGTGTTACAAATTAACTTTTACACCTGTGCACCGTTACCGAAAGTAACCACTCATTATAGTACGTACAATTTCTTCTAATTATTATATGAGTATTACGTTGCAGGTTGAAGGGGGTAAGGTTTTTTACTTTCGTTGACTATATATGTGCTTTTAAATACAGGTTACGCGTACTTTTTTTTTTGTATTATTGCTTAGCCAATATGCCATGTAGCACTATCTTTACAATCATTCAAAAGCCAAACAGGAACTCAATGCCGACATGTTTGCTTCAGGTCTTCACGAGATGGCGGAGTTCGCTGTTCTCGATGTAAGCGTAGAACTGCAAAGATGCGAAACTGTAGCGTTCAGTGTAAACGTGAACGAACAAGTACTCTTGTACTCGGAGTGAATGATAAAGGACTTCAGACCCCGAGATTTCCGGAGACGGTCGAATTTGAGCATTATAAATTTGGAAGGTGAGCACTCGTGATAGATTGCGAATTGTTTAACAAGTCCATAAAACCCTCTAACGGACTTAAGATCTAATGTGAGGTGACTCATGAATGAGAGAACCAAATTGATTAAAATTAGGAAGACTTGTCAGAGCTCCCTATGAATGCACGCGGAAAGAATCGTATTCTTGCAATCAATATACTGTTTTTGATTAATCTATTGTTATGGAATGGTTTCATGAACATACATTGTTCGAGTGCTTACTCGATTATGATTTGAAACTGAAACAAAAAGCCACTCGAATAAATGATAAATTCATGTAGTATTCGTAATAAGTCCAATGGTTCAGTTTCCATTGTAATGTCAATTCTAGTTAATGAGGTGATGCCAAATGCATGTGATCATGATTACACTTTTCAAAGATAATTATTAATTACCTGTTGAATATTCAACTAGGACTCAGTACCTTTAATACATTCGCTAAAATGGAAGTGGATAACCACAAACAAGCCTTTCAATGTCACAACTTTTTATTAACAGGGAAATTCAAATTTCACCATTTCTAAAACCACTGATACACCACATGCACTACGCATATGATAGATTATTAACTAACGCCATACGTGTTTTCCAGATTTTTTCGTCGCGAACGCCATTGCAACGGCGGAGCTGATATTCTTCACCTATATTTGGATGAAATCAAGCACCTGAACGAAGACGACATGCATCGGTTAGTCAAAGACTACCTTCGGGAAACGTTTCGGGAAAGTCCCCAAGGAACCGCCAAATATGTACTCTCGGTCATCCACAACGGAGCCGCTTATCTCCCGGACCTAGTCCAGTATTTTGCGGATAACCAACCCACAATGGCGGTCAAGTGTGGAATTCTTGGCAGAAATAGTGATATAGAGACGACAACTATGCGCGAATTCAAAGATCTTGTCGACAGAACGTACAGCTGTGGGACCTACCGAGCAGGTCCTCTGCATCAGATCTCCGTGGTCGGAACCGCGCAAGAGGAATCAGGTGGATACTTTCCAGATTTTTTATCACTACTTGAGCGCAGCCCCTTTCTAAAGTCCACAATGCCATGGGGTTCTCTCTCAGTCGAACACTTCGATCCTCAGCAGAGTAGCGACGGCCCCATCGTTTGGGTTCGGCCGGGAGAACAGATGGTGCCTATGAATGAGATCAAGGGCTCGCCGATGAAATCAGCCCGAAAAGAACTAAAGAGCCTGCATTATCAACCTCTACGATTATCTGAGCCTCGTGAGTTCCTCTTTGAGGACCGCACTCGTGCACATGCGGATCAGGTAGGCCAAGGTCTAGACCGTATGACAACGGCAGCCGTCGGCATACTCAAAGCTGTCAACGGGGAACGATGGTGTAACCGTGTCACGAAAGACGTGGTTGCTTTTCATGCTGCCGACTATCCTTCACTTGTCGAGAAGCTACAGCTGGACCTGCATGAACCCCCGGTGTCTCAGTGTATCCAATGGGTAGAAGACGCCAAGCTAAACCATCTGCGAAGAGAGGGCGTTCGATACGCGAGAGTGAATCTGTGCGACAACGATATTTATTTCTTGCCGCGAAACATCATTCATCAATTTCGTACAGTCACAGCAGTTGCCAGTATCGCTTGGCACGTTAGACTACGACAATATTATCCAGAGTAAGTAACAAATAAACTGTGAATAGGTTATCGAATGCATCGAAATCCATGCCATCCATTGAATTGGATTTGGTGTGGAAATATAACGTACAGATATAACGATATTATACCGGTTATTAATTAAAAGCAGCATAAAAAATACTTTGTAGAAAACCATGTGTGTATCAGACTATGTGTAATGACACATAAATAAATTGATATTTTCGATAGACTTGCACAGTTGCTTCGTCTGTTGATATTGTTTTATGCTGATCCTTTCACAATCATTGATTTTCCTTATTACAGGAGCGAAAAGTCCACTACACGAGTAATGGCGCGTCCTTTACCGACGGACCACTCTGAGAATCGCGCCGCAAAGCGTGCCAAAAGGACAGCTACTCAAGATGAAGACAGCCTACCAACCTGAGGCGCAGTAATATGACAGAAATCTGTTATCCCGGTCATAGACAACTAACGAAGTCTATCCACCATGATTCAACACCATCCAATTGCCCGATAGAGCGAATATTGACAACGATTAATGATAATCCAGGACACGTCAGTAAAAGCCACACCAGCAAATCATTGTAGGCAAACCGCGCGTACAAATGATTATGGCATCGTCATGCTTGAGAAGTACGGCAACGTTTTGTAAAGGAAAGTATTGACATAAGTGGAAAACAAGGTTCGTTGAGCGCATAAGGTTGCGAATGGCAAATGGAACGATGCGGGTTGTAACAGCCGTTTTTGTTTGTCAATTCTTCGCTGATGCTAAACGCAGAATACTAGATTTGGAGCGTGAGGTGTGAAACGTCTCTGTGGCACAGACGCAATCACAAAGGTGGCGGATATGCTTTGAACAGCTATCCAATAGACGCTAACCAAAAGTGCGATGTGTGCTGATTAAGCAGGAGGCTGGCTCTCCGGACACACTAGAAGAGCACAGCCGGATCAGAGAAGAGAGCAAAAATACCCACCGGAAGGAACGAACCGGAGTTTGTTATCTGTAATGCATCTGTATATACCATTATTGTAGACGCACGTGAATGGACGAAAACAGTTTAACAAAAATCGAAATAATAATCATAATGATATATTAAGATAATTTTTAAAATTATCTATAATAAGTTAGCGGAAGATGGGAGCACAGAAAGCGAACGAAAAAAGAAGGCTATAATTTATTTATATGAATTATTATTATAACTCATAGTGAAAATAAGAATATTATTAATAACGAGAATATGTTGAGATTGAGAAAAGAAAAAAATGCAAATCTCCCCGCAGATGTATTTTGATTTGCTTCTTTATCTTGGCATTATACATATATAAGGGTATATATCTGAACAGTTAATATGTGTAAAGGGTTAATTAAAATAGCTGCAACTCGTTACGGACTACAACAACAACTGCCAACCAATAAGAAAAATATTCACTCGAAATTCACATAAGCTGACCCAATACCGCCGGTTTGATCATCTACTCATGATCCCAGAGCTTGTACTTAATAGACAACCACATTCGTTCATAGGGCTGTCGGGGCTATTTATTTTTTACTACTGTTATTGATTTTGGCTGTCATGAAATTAAGTTGTTTTCTGTTCGGTCTCAACGAGCAATGCAATTTCTGTATACCACTATCCCTATTTCATAATACTTCCTGTGTACCCTGGTACTTGTCATTATTATCATAATTATTATTTGCATTTTAAGGTCTTGTATCAGTGTGCTTTACGTAGGATTGGCTGCAACGCATTATGGACAGACACAAGCAAATCAAAACGGAAAAATTATCATTCAGAGTACTTATTGTCATGGCAACTTTGAAGTTGGCAAAAAAATTGCACCGGAAAAGCTCACTTTTTACTCCAGTTTTATAAGCTGTCCCTCTCATTTAATTTGAATATTCTTTATTTTTCGACAGCGATATTCCCGTACTTGACATCTCCCATCTGTTACTGTTGTGTAAATTACCAGAGTATTGATTATCGTAATTATACTAAGAATAACAATTATTATGAAACTTGTTGTTATAATAATACATACATTATATTTTGGGTCAATTGAAACACAACAAGATGTACAGGTGAACGATAATAAATATAAGCCTCGTAATAACGACTTACTATTCACTTCATTTGTCATTCCTGCAAAAAGTATATATAGCAGATCCCTCAAAAGGATGGGTACAAATTGCATGCCATTCGTTAAAGAACACGAGAATACATTAATTTGGCTTTTCTCAGTAACCCGGCGGGCAGTTTTTTGTTTTAGCTATGATGAACAAGGTCGATCAAAATCTGTTGATAATGCAATTATTTTGAAAAAATCGTATACTTTGATTTCGCAAAGCGTTTACGTACTTTGTTTGTATGTTTATCACCACTTATCTTGGATTGACCTTAACTGAATATATACATTTTCCTAATCATTAAAATAATTTATATTGTTTCCTTTGTTTTGCTTTTTATTTTTATTCTTTGTGCATCTTATTTACTCCGTGAATCTGTTATGGTGGTATTTAGAAATGGGTCGTAGTGCTAGAGTCGCAAATTCCTTGAAATATTCTTGCATGATTATCATATCATTGATTCAATTTAACAATGACATTAATGGATGAATACGTCCGCCTAAAGATTGAGGATGACTATATCGTGTTTATACTTAATTATTCAGCTCATACTAAATACGTTCATCGTCATCTTCCATAAGTTGCCACAATGTAATTAAAGTTTATCTTATGTACAAGGAAGTGGCATGGACTTGAAAATTAGTTTATCGCATCTATTTGTATAATTATTAACGACCACGTGTTAGGGGTTTCGTTTTACACTTTGATCGACTTCGAAAAACAAGCCGAATATAAACTGCGTTATGTCGCAGGCTGTTGCAAAGCGAACTGCGCCGATTAGTCTCGTAGGATTTGCCTGCTACATCATCAAAAGATCTTCTTGTCCACAATCTGGTAACGGAATTTGAAAATTAGCAGTTCCACAAAGATCAATGGGGCAAAGTCTGTATGTCGATGTCTGTTTATTTTCTCCATGGCGAGGTCATCACCTGATTTGGTCGTCCCGTGTATAGGTAAACAACCACCATGAGAGTAGGTGTTCCTTCGCTATTGTTTCCTTGTGGTTGCTGCTTTTATTTATTATTGCTATCATATTATGGCTTTAATCCTGGTCCCTAGTAATAAAAATAGTACATACTTGTAAATGTACGCTCACCAATCAGTCAGCTGCATTAGTTCCTAATTGGTACAAAACAGATAGATGCGAAGAATAGACACGGCAGTATGTTCGGTTTGGCTAGCTTCTTGATTATAGAATATTAATTATGTAATGAAAGACTATTATTATCTGTAATATCAATGGTATCGGATGAAAAGTGTATTGAGTGCGGACTCTGTGTGGCCATGCGTATGAAATCCTTTCACGCGTAACTCATCAAGTCACAATAAATGGTGAACAATCATCTGAGGAATTACGTAATAAAAGAATGGAAATTAATAAAAGAAAATTATGAAGAATAACAAAGAAAAAAACTGTTACGGTGCGTTTTTTGTCGAACATACATATGAAGATAAAAAAAATTACGTTAGAACTTTAATATGTTCACCTCACACTTACATATGTTTGTTAAAATAAAATGTCGTATTTATAGTTCGGTAAAGTAAAATATATACTAAGATCCAAACGGCAGCGTTCTCACGGAAACCGGAGAAAATGGGAACGGAAACTCTTGCATGTTATCATTTATACATATACATATACGCACTCGGCACATTTTTTTGAATATTGTAGCATCCAGGCAACAATTTCTTCTACATAAATTTTAGCTGTTTGCTACTCTAGGCGCTAAAAGAGAACAGATGACTATTGGTGATTAGCTAGGAAATGTACCTAGTTCATAGAAAATTAAGTATAGGAGACAGGAAGAACAAAATAGGCAACAATGAGATGTCGATTGTATCGGCTGGATCACTGTTCGGCGTACTATTATGTGTCGTTAGGCTTCAATAGCTACAGAGGCAATTAAGTGAGCCGATCACCACGACAAATTAAAATTGTCACTTTGCACTATCATTTTTAGCAATCAACTAGATTTAGGAGACATGGAAAATTAACTGACGTAAACTTTGGTAACATGAAATAACTCATCGATCGAATACGTTGTTTCAGTTTGAAGCAGGTGGTATATCTGCTAGGTACGGGAAGTTCAAGTCCAAGTTGTGGTTTATTTCGAACACGGCAGTAGTGAGGCTGCAGCAATTGGTGAGTATAACAAAATCGTTTATAATCATAACTAATATTTCAGAAGGTTCATGCGCGCTCGGATTGTTAATTTTTTTGAACAAAACAGAAGCCATGCTATAAGATGCCAATACAACGCCTACAATCCTGGCGAATTCGGGATGACAGAGAGCGTGGGAGGGCTGAATTATGGCTACTGCAAAGGCAAAAAAAGGGCGTTCAATTAGAACGTCATTTATTAAGAATGTTTTCCTTCTTGTGTATATTGCTCTATCGATTGCTACAATGGTTATACAAGTAATACAAGCGTAATTCAACAAAGCAACGAACAGTAATTTCTTTTTGCCAAATATTAATGGAGTTCGCGCTACCTCGCACGTTTGAATATGCCCGCCACCAAGGCGGTATCCAAGAGCCCGCCAGGTGACCCCTGGCTGGCGCGACGGTAACGAAGAAAAAGCGCGTTTCGTGATCAACTCTGGCCAAGCCTCAAGGGCCATGTTGTGTATATAGCAGCCTCGTATGTGCGGTGTACATAGGCAGGTGTAAATACGTGTAAATATTGTGCAACCCTTGCGACAGCCGGACACGCCTCAGGTACGTAACTCCAAAGTAGCGCGTGCCATTTACGGGCCGCAAGATCCTCTCGAAACTGCCGGCCCAAAAAGAATCATATTATAATCACGGTTGCCGCTACTGCTACCACTACTGTTACTACGGTCGCCATATATACATGCATACAGTACGTAGAGCGGGGTTAGTGCAGCGATCGACAGGGCAAACAGCCCAATACAGAAAGCTGATCGTGCTGGACAAAGTACCATCACAGATTAATGCTATTGTCACACAACGCTATTGCTGGAGCAGCCACAGCAAAACAAAACTCAAGCTAAATCAATCTATTGACGGTATCGAGAGCGCTACACAGGGAAAACAGATCGATCAACTTCTTGCCTTCGATTCGGGCCGGAGTCAGTCGGCGGTTGGGCCGCTCATTGAACCGCCGAAAACGCCGACCCGAAAAATTGCCCAAATGACGACTAGCGAAATTTCACGGCCAGCGCTATGTGGTTCGTGCTCCTCGCTGTCTTCCATCGTTTCTATGGTTGTTAATTGTGGTCCCATGAGCGTTTGAGTTTGTAGGATATGAGAATTTAGCGTAGCAGTCAGTTTTGAGTTTCACTCGAAACAGGACGAATGGCAGGACGGCGGACAAAGAACGGTCGTCTTCTGTGTCGTGGTTAGACTCCTCGGATCCGGAATGCTAATGATGGTGACACCGCTTGCGGACGATGGCCTAGCTTGTGCTAATTCATGTGGGCATTGAAATATCTGTACACTAGTATCTGGCAACATGGACATGCATATTCGTTAACGGGTCCGCCCGATGCGCGACCCAATCCGCAGAAACGGAGTCGACTAAGTCGATTAGTTTTTCGAGAACACGTTTTATTTTTAGAAGCCTGCTATATACGGAAATGTATGTGGATCCGTTGTGTTGACGAGTGGAAAGTATTGTAGTTAATTATTATATTGATGGATGTTTTTGGTTTGTTTGATATCGTTTTCTGTCTCTCCAGAAGCACACGACTTGGTTAAATAATGGCCAAGGCGGCGCTCGATATCGCTGCGTCAGATCTTCTCGGATGCTGCGTTTGTTGTTGTTGGTGTTAGTGTTTGTCGCTTGTCGCGCCGCTGTGTGACCTATGTTCTGTCGTTTTCGTGTTACTAGTGTAAAATATAGCTAATATTACTACCAGGACGCTCCTGCTATCTTGGTGTAGTAATGAGTCTCTATTAATAATAAGAATCGCAGTAATGAACAGCTTCATCTTTTCGTCGGAGAAAATACTCCCCTTCTGCTGCACTGCGCAGCACGGATAGCAGCGCCAGCCGCTGCTGCACCAATAAAAACAATAGGGCATAACCACAACCGATGCTGCTGCTGCTGTTGACAATAGCTCTTTCCATTTCGTGTCCTCGTATAGTATTATTATTAGCAGCCCTTCATTTTTCCGGCTTCTTTTGTTGTTGTTGTTTCTTTTGCGCTGCGACGCTGTCGTTTTCGTCGGTAGGCTACAGCAGGAGCGAGACGAAATAACAAGGAAAATCGCTCGAAACGAGACAACAGTCAGCTTGCGTACGACGAAAAGCAACAGAAACGGCAGACAAACAGCCAATGCTGATAATGGTTATGACGATGCTGATGGAGCTATTGCTATTATCGTGGCTGATTGGCTTCTGCTTCCTGCTGTCTACAAGTGCACAGAATCTCAGATCCTCGTGGATAAACAATCGTCACTGTTGCGGTGGTAATAGAGTGATCAACGCAGACGACACCCCTATCCAGCAATCTATTCGGTGTTAGTGACACAACAACCGCTAGCGACAACAACATCGTCGCCAGGAAGGAATAGAACGAACAATAATGAAACAAGTTCATAAAATTATTCATAATGAAGTCTAAAGGAAAACAGTAATGATAACAAGTGGAATCATAAGTAACTGGTTTGTGATACGTGAGAGTGGACAGAAAGAAACCATGGATCGCCCACTCGTCTCCGTCGGTGTGCCGAGTCTGTTGCGTGTTTCGCAGTCTATTTGCTCTGAGGTGTTGTTTTTGTGTAGACTTACACCTATCTGCTGTGAGCAGCGTGAGCTATGTCCCTGTATGTGTGTGTATTCTTTGGGCAAAATTAATCAATTGCTTACAACGAATTGTTCATTCTATCACAGCGTTGTTTGTTGGTTAATGGAGGCGATAACAAATTGCCACACTCTTTGCAGCTCCCGACTAAAATGGCCGTATCATCAGTAATCAGGCTGAGTCGTAGGACTGCGCTACGGCTGCCGGTGCTGTGTTAATAGATGACGAGGCATCACGCAGAACAAAAGCGAAAAGGAGCCTGCGTGTCTGGACGCGACTGTCCTTTCGCTAGTGGGACTAGTCAACTCGTTTGTACAAATGCGTGAACTTAACTTGATCTATAGACGCTGGTTACATCTGCCATAGTATCTTCCTATAGACGTTATGATAAGATGAAAAAGTAACAAAATGTTGATTTTGTACTTTATTCTCGCAAAAAAACTGTCAAAAGAAGGAGAACTGGCAGGAGGTCTCTTTTATTGACGATTGCTCAGATGTTTCGCTTTCCATGTTTGGCCGAAAAAAGAACAATGACATATGTGGATGTGGCTTACAGCTCAATTTATTATCTATTTACTATTGGCATATCCAGTCCCTGGTACTACTATTTCATCGTATTCGTCGTTTTTGCTAAAATGATGAGTGTTGTTGTTTCATGTGTCGTATGGGCTCCGGCAATCACTTTGTCTGTAGCTTCCACAGCCACTGCTGATGCTGTTGTTCGCACAGCTGTTGCTGTTGTTGTCATTCGGGGGTGATTCATTCGCCCACTCTTCCCCCCGCTTGATGAACGCGCCAGACGATTTCTATGCCCACAATTGCGCGTCTGCTTGTTCGTCCACCTCGAAGCAAAGGACCGTCGTTACACTTTATCGTCGTTATTCACTCAGCATCTTCCTCTAGCTTCAAATCCCTCTCGTCGCTTAGAGTAGCAACTGCCGGCAGCGTCATAATCATCTCTAAGAGCCCTGATGGCAGCGGCGACTTCCGCAACGCGCGGCAACGCCAAGAAGACGTCGGGTGGACAGACGGCCAACGAATGAACGCCTTATAGCCGCCCTGTATTTATTTACCTGTCGTGTTTCTCGTCTCTTAGCTTGTCTGTAAGTCTATATGTGTTGTCTGTAGTGGTTGTGCTAGCCGGTGGTTGCGATAGCGCCAATGATAAATGGTCGGTAAGCGGCGACTAAACCCAGTGGTTAATCGGAGGGCCGGACGGGCGCAATGTGCTCTATATCTTGCCTATTGTTTCTGTATCGACCACTCTCTCGCATAGATAATAGGGGCAATGACAGTGACACTATACCACCAATCGAATGTGCGGATAAGCGCCGTCAATGCTGGAACTTCCGTGTCAACAACAACCCGCATGAGCCAATAGGACTAGTGCTAATGGTAAGCCGTTGTCACCACCGTCATTGATATCGCCGTAGATGAGTCGACCAGCTACCAGCGCTCAGTCGGTCACCCAGTGAATTGCTCACTCTTGACACCTATTATTGATATGTGGATTGCATAAGCCGACCCAGAATTGGCGGCACCAAAATTCAACAGACACAAATGAGAGAAGACCTAAACAGAGAAATTTGAGTAGACCTAAACGGACACAATGCATACATGCAGCATTATAATAGAGTACAGCGAAATCGCCATTTAAAGAAGCGCTCAAAATCATGCACATATCGACACGTAATAGATACTTAACCTAAAGACAAAACCGGTAAGTTCAGAGAAAGAGAAAGATGAGAGAAGAGGGGTAGAAGGGAGATGAGCAGTGGGAATAAATTGGTTCTTTTCACTTTGTTTACATGGTCATCGTCTCTGTTGTTCCGGTACTGTGCCGTCGTTTATGTGACTGAGTTGGGTTTTGTGGATATCTCTCGCCTTTTACAATGCCAGTCCCAATAACGGCAACAACTATAGCAACAATCATCTAAACTACAATGTAGTATGTATTGGTGCAAAACACGGTGCTGCTACTATGACATGTTGCTGTCACCAGGGGGTGCTTTGTACACCATCTCTCGACGGTATTCGTCGGTCACGCATAGAAGCTTGCCTGTTTGGTCGTTGGGAGACCGTTTACTTGTTCACGGTAGTCTCTCGTGGCCTAGACAATGATATTATCGGTCAAATAGCGCTGCTCAATCGATGCCATTAGTGGCATTGCCAGGTAACCATCGTTGAGTCAAAGCTAAACGGCAACAAAGAGGCTTTAGTAATGATTGTTACTCTATAGATACAATGGCGCCATCATCAGCGATGGCGGTAACTTTTCGGGGCGACAGTATCGGTAATACTGCAGATTGCTGTTATTGTCTCGTCACCGTTGTAGCTTCGGTCGTTTACTGTTTCCAATGTCAGTCCCTCCTTGGGCTATAGAAACATACAGGATGTTCGGGATAAAGTGAGACATGCATTTATAACTACTACGGATACTAGAAGCCAGCCAGTTTTTGAGTTAGAGCGAAATCACAAATTCATCATGGCAAAAGGCTCGGTGTTCGATTTTGAGCGAAGATCAGCTACTGTTTAGTGTCGTCCGGACGGACGAACCCCATTGCGATTATACAGATTTTTTTGGCTGCCTCGAATGTACGCTCTGCGTCGTTGAATTTTCAAGCAGCTTTCTGTGAGATTAGGCAAAAGGTCTACAAGACCAGCTTTATCCGAAAAGTTCGAAAGCTAATTATAATACCGCTAAACCATTTCTAAATCATCCTGGAATTAACAGCTCGTATTGGAAAAAAGTATCTACTGGCGACTAGGTCATTCAGATAGGGCGCTTGAGTTTTTGGGACTTTTGGCCCAGTACTAGCTCCGACATTTAAAACCATTAAATTTTTTGTGGCTGACATGTCTGAGCGATACTCTAATAGTCCATACGTAATATTGAGAAAAACAATATTAAACGGTGCTGTGTTGAAGATGAAATTCTGATTTTGTGTTGGATGACACACCGCTAGGTGGCTAAGGGAAATCGGACAAAAAAAAAGTAGTTTAGCGACAACATTGTGCATTTCAATGAGTGAAATATTACCACCATCGAAATCGTTAGCGCCAACGCAATTTTTATTAATTTAGCAAACCCTCTAGATACAGGCGCTACTGGCTATCCTTAGCCTCCTAATACGTGTGTGTGTGTGTAATTTTAGTATTTCTTAAAGTCAGGTAGCGTTTCTGAAAACAGGAGTCATTTATCCGAATATGCATTGGAGTGCAATTGTTTGACAAAAACAACTGTTATGACTACCTAGTCCAATAATTGTGTATCAAAATTTAGATAACCTCAGATGAGCTATGACGTCTCGTTCGCTCGTAAGTTCTGATGAGCGTCATGGAGCGGATGGGCCGCTGCACTAATTGTTTGACAAAAAAAATACCACCTCTAATTCAAATTCATCTTCAATGTGTAAAGGCTCGTTATTACATCTGGCAAGTATCACTTATAATTTTTTGGTATTAGACTGCAACTAAAGCGTAGAGTATGCAGAGAAATTTGGAACGGTTCAAAATAGGGGCATTTTTTTGAAACAATGTCAAAACAGGGCGTCATTACAAACATCTCTCTAGCTATTTTAAGTATACAACAGCACCGTCATAACGAGCTCGATATCGCTTTCCAGAAATTTTGAAAATGTAGGGTTATGGTAACGGTCATACAACAGTTAGTCAGATGACTAGTTAATCAGTGATATGGTAATTTGCTATTTCCTACCGTACCATAATTCTCCTCGAACATCAACAGCCGTTACGTACACCTAGATCGATTTCCCAACCGTCTATCTACGATTGGTAGTCTTTGACATCCACTGGACACGTATAGATTGATGATTAAGTAAACGAGACCGAACTGTGCTCCGACTAGTGTTTTTAGTAGAAAAAGAGTCGATGAAAGGCTGTTCTGCTATCGCTGGAGTGGTGAAGCCACCTGTTTACGGCTAGTAATTGCTTTGATCTCCATGTACCAGTTAGGTATACATTTTTTAATTGTTCCTTCTTTTAAAACAAAACAGAAACGATATAATTATTTTTCTTTTTGATTAGACAACGACTAAATGTAAATGGAGCAAAAATAATTTGCTCAAGCTAGCAACAGTATTGTACCTTGAACAGTATTTTCACTGATTGTCTCTGCAACCCCTCTGTTGTTTCATATTAGATGGACAACGGTTTTTCGGATTCCTAGAAGGTTTGCTTGGCGTTTTTTATTCTCCCTCTATGTTTGGATATATATATATATATATACAAAAACAATTCAGTTATTTTTTCGATGTTTTTGCTCTTTAGTTTGCTTGCTAGTTAAGAACGCCATCTTGTGTGCATGTGTGCCTCCTCAACTACGACATACTAAATCGTCACTTCCCGTACGAAAGTTCTCAGCTGGTTCCTAGAAACACAATCCGTTTCAACGACGGAAACAGTAGCAGCTGATGCTTGTAACAGTCCGTAATGAGTGCAGCTAGTCGGAATAGAGAGACTGAATCGTAGAAGCATTGCCTGGCGGTTCTTCTAGCCTTTCAACTATCCTGCGGCTGTTTACGTATATCTATATGCGTATGTGTAGGAAGAAGAATGTATCCCTTCGTATGTACATGCACTCATGGATGTCTTCAATGGCGCTCCGCTTTTCCTTCCTTGACTGGAGTTTCCACCGTCGCAGTTTCTGATTCATCTGCTGTTGCTGAATGACACTCAAGCAAGTAGGCCGACAGACTACCTGTCATTACCGGCATACAGTAGTGATTGATAACGACCGAATGATTGTAAGCGGCCAGTAACGAATATCATTGCCACTACGATATTGACGACTCCGGCCGTCCAGCGCCGAAAACTGATTCTAATTGAGCCGTCCTAATCATGGCCAATAGGCATATGCATATGTGTAACATTATATTTCGGCTAAGTACGTGCCATTACGATTTGCTAGTATGTGGTATCGTTGAGTAATGCGTCTGCAGAGGAAAAAAATGTCGGGGGGAACATGAAATATGAAGAGGAACTGTCTCGTTGAGCTTCACTCACAGCAAATTCATCATATAATACAATTATGCTGTATATACGAAAGCATATTAAATAAGGTGACTGCACCAGCAATACTCTATTTATGTACCACTCCGTATAAAAGTCGGGCGTAAAAAAGTAATTATTCGAAGAAAATTACACAGCGGTTGCTAATTGAAAGCATTCAGTGAAGAGGCTTGTCAGAAATTTGACATACACCATCACATGTTGGACTCATAAACACTATCTGTGGCACCATTTTATGTCGTAATGTTAGAATTCGATTAGCTGAACACGCTTAGACAATGCAAAAATTCTTGATTTTCTTAAACGACGTTAATAAAAGTGTGAGTGTTTCCGTCATATAACACAAAGAGGCTGTCCGCGAACAAACCGCTGCTGCAACCTGAATGTCGAATCTGTGATATTATAGAAATGTGGAGTGAAACGTGGGGTTGAGAAGAGTGACGTCGCACAGCGAAGACGTCTAGGAAAATAAAGACTGTTGAAGATTTTTGCATAATAGGATTGCTTCTTAGTGCATTCAACAGTACCATATGCGCTCTGTTGTTTTTCGTGTTGTTTGTTTGAACCTGAAACCGCAGGTAAACTAGTTTACACTGTGAACGCCTAATTGTATTGTAAACTCAACGGACACAGTTGCTATATAGACAAAGTCGCTTGCCGGGCACGCGTTCTTTCGGTCACGCTCGTCTCATCTTTGGGTTTTCCTTCATTGAAGCGACACAAAAATTTGGTTTCCTATTTATTATTTATCATTGGGAATCACCTCTAGCAGATAGTGGCCAAATTTATTGTTCGCAAAGAGAGATTCTCAGTGAGCAGTGGGTTTATTGTGTCATAGCGACATCATTATCTTGCATTAGTTAGGGATGTGCGTCTACTCTCTCGAGACTCGTATTGCTGCGACGCTGTCCATGCTGCATAGAATGTACGGGTTACTTGTTTACCAGTGGTATGAAAGAGAGTGAGTTATGTCCTGTGTGTGCTACTGCTGTACAAAGGGAACCGTCTGTTCTCGTCTGCTAGTCTGGCTAGTCCGTCTGCTTTCGTTGACGTCGTATTCTATTGTATTGTTGTGCTCTATTGTTATCCTGCAGAACGATCTGTTTCTGGCTAGCGGTGGTAGCGATTGTGGCAGGCGTTTTCCACTGCAGCAGCAGCTACGTGCGTCACAACAGTAGATCAACTCTTTTTCCTTTTACGTCACGAAGCACCACCTCTCAGATGCAGAATGTTTGCACGTTTGTGTGTCGACGTTGACTGTTGCCATCCCCACGCTGTCTAGCGTTCTTTCTTGTTTTATACTGTTGATGCTCTTTTGCTGGTATTTGTTGCATCTTGATGTTTGATTGCATCTTCTTTTAAGGCTCACTGTAGCTCATTGTCGTTTGCCTTCGTCGGTTAGCGCGCGCGGGCTCGGTGGCCACAGAACAGACAAACACAAAGATGCCGAATTGTGGTGCCTTTAGTGGCAGTAAAATGTCAATTTGGGGCAGCGTGTATTCATATGTAGGAGGCAAACTTTCTATGCTGACCGCGGCTGGGGCGGCAGTGCTTCCCTGGCGAGGGAAAGCGTTGCCATTTTTTGACTGTGTTGGATTTTGGTGTTGGTTGAAGTTCTCCAGCCGTTTTTATTTGAAATTGGTTACTTTTTTTTTGCTGTGGTATCGATTCTCTTTTTGTGGTTGTATCACTATTGCGAAAAATGACGTGACGATCGAATATGCAGATGGCTGGAAACAATAGGTTTGGTTGTCTCTTTTAAAGTTCTTCAAAGAATGCCTCGCCAACCAGAAAATGAATATAGAAGCATATATGATTGCGAAGATACTGATTTCGCGGCAGATAAGTGTGTGGTTTAGATCTCGGGGATTTGTTCGATTTAGATATTTAAAGGACTGTACGTGGAGTTCTTCGAATTAATTTGGGAAGCTGTTCAAATAAACGTCATGACATTATTATTGCTTATTACTGACAAACTTGTAACTACGCAATACGAAGTCAAGTATTAGCTCGACCAAAAGAAGAAATATAGAGTAACAACAGGTAAATTGAATAAAAGAATACTGCAAGAATCGATTTCTATTAATCATGCAAACGATGAATGGCTTCGACTATTCGGAACACGCGAAAACCGAATCCCAGGCTTAACGAAATGGTGTGTTCGTTGTAGTGCGACGATCGACTAATATCGCCGTAGATAAAAATTACTGATATAACAGAATAGGTAGTGACGTTCTTACTATCTAATGTAGCTTTTTCTGAGCTGTAAGTTTTACCAAGTAGTAAACGACAATGTTTGTAGAAATTGGTGTGCCTCTAGCTTTATACCAGCGTCGTTTCGGTTATTTAGGAACGATACGGGGAACGATACGAACAAATACCTATTGACAGAAAAATACCCAAATGCGGTCCCTACGGAATAACAGCTCGTTCTGTATATAGGGGGAGGTCACGAGTTCGTTAAATCTCTGTCCCATCACAATGCGGCTCATTTTTATTCAAGCAGACGTTTCTTAACGTTGTTCCTGGCTATTCAGTCAATCGGATCAAGCACCGAACTGCAAAAATATTCTGATTTGTAAGTACTTTGGTATGATGCAGTTGTAGAAAATGACGGCGTATCTTCGAATGTCTTCTTTTATTAGCTTGTAGGAGGGATATGTATCAAATTCGTTGTATTCTGCGGTTCCGATGATAAGCCTTCAGGTGAATTACTCTAGTAGTCCTGAGAAAATCCTGTTCCTAAATGACTCAGATGAGTCATTGATGATCATCAGTTGAGAGTTCCCCGAGTCTCTCGTTTTCTCCGACTCAAACCTGATGGACTACTCAAACCTAGAGAAGTCCTTGAACTCAAGGTTATTGTATCTGTAGTAGTATTTATTGATATGCTATATATTCCCGTTTTTAACAATAGGACATTTGCGCTGTTCAAGTGATTTTCATTGAGTGATTTTTTATATGCCTTAATATTTTGCTGACGTCGATTTAGTTGTGCATACGCTTGAGCCCAAAGTTTTTAGCTATATTTTATTAACGCCGTTCCTATTAAAGAACAAAATGTCCGATTTACGATAACTAATCGATTTTTTAAGTAGTCCTCAACTTGAACCTCTACTATACATTATACCGACCTTCTAATATGTGTTTTAAGAAAGAAGAAGCACACAGAATGCACAGGATGTTTCCATAGTATCTAAGTGTTTTAGTCAGCAGCTATAAGCTTATTGACGTCCGATGTGCCGATGATTCTCGAGTACACGAGTCCACAATTTTCGGCCCAATAAGCACGTCAGCTTGCTCATAGCTCGTGCCAAAATTACCATAGTTTCGTCTTCAGCGTTGTTTCTTGCTGCATTTGAAGCGTCAACCAATACTGACATACTGACAGAAAATTAAATATGTGTTGTTAACGGTTCATCCTTTATCGTGTATAATTTAAATTTACAAATAAGCCAAACATTTTTACTGCTTATTAATACAGGATTGCTCTATCATCCATATCGTCATAGGGATATTTTTGTAGTTTACCTTAGTTGTGTCACAAATAAACGATATGTACGACAGTGGGTCAAGACTACGTTATCATAACATCGACGTAGATATTACTCTCAGTATTTACTCGATTCATCAGCGAATTTTAATAACTAACCGTGTCTGTTCATTGACTTCCCGTTACAGACGCTGCTGTGATTAACACCATCTTGAGCAAACCACAGCAACAACGGCAGAAACTCAACCACAGCAGCGACAATAACACGAATATCACCAAAAACAGAAAAGAGGAAGCAAAAGACGAGAAAACAGAATATTTCTATCGATCACGATACCGACAACATCGGGGTCGATTCGTCGAGGCCGAGCGTCGCGCAGGACTATCTATCATCCTTACATTAAACAACAGGGATACCCAAATCCATTCAGATTTACGCGCGTACAGGATTAGATACACATACACAAGTACGGACACATACACACACACCTAAAAAGGATAGATTGTTTACACACTTCCAGTACATACACGCATATTCATTTACATTCAAACAGCGAACAGAGTATATACGACGCTTGTGAGGAGACACTGCGCTTTTGTGCCGCGTGCCTTGAGACCTGTGCCGCAACGTTTTTTTTCGCGCTAAGAAAGAAAACTATTTCCTAGCAGAGCGCCTCCAACGCTCGCCTGGCGTTAGCGAGCCTAAGACGAGGCGTTTGTAGGCGTGTGGCGCTTAGACATTGTGACAGACAGCGACAAACATCATTGCTATACACGTAGACACAACACACGCAGATTTTATGAGTAGTTGAGTTTGATAAGGACGTTTGAGTAGAAGACTTTTTTAGGAGTGTCGCAGCTCGAGTCTCGTGTTGTTTCGGGGCGTGTTCTGACTGGTCGCGCGGCTCAGCGCCAAGTAGAACTAGGCAGCAGATTGCGCCTGTCAACCAAGGAGATCCGACTCAAATAACGATCTGGCGGAAGGGTCCTCATTAAAAGTGGGGGCTCACCGATGATGTAATAATTTAGACCAACAAACTCATCATTCAGCTACTTCTACATAGCTTTGCATAATCTGGAACAGGAACTTATCCACCAAATACAATATTTCGGCCGTGTTTCTCCTTGATTACGACGACGGCGAAAACGGCAAAAACAAAAGTGAAATTATCAGCTACAAAGAAGAAAAACAAAGCAGATAATTCCATTGTAATAAAACAAGGGGAAAGGGATAGAAAAAACAGCGAGAAGTAACTACTACGGCCACTGTAGACAAGTTCATATACGACACGACCCCCTCCCCGCACAAGAGCTATCACGTCCACTCTACGAACCCGCTATATCAGTTTATCAACCCAAATAGATATATCGATAACGCGTGTCAAATTATCAACTTTTGATCACAAGAACGGCAACAACATCAACAGTGAATAATAATACAGATCCACGATACACTTCACTGTGCCAGCTTAATCTGCGCTGACAAGACCACAACTATGGAGATGCTGAACGGCACTGCAGAAGGCCCGCGAACAGCGGGCGCACCACCAGGGGGAGGCCGCGGTGGTGGGGGTACTGGGTCGAACGGTTCGCAGTCTGCCGCAGGCAACGGAGGGCCAGGTAGCGGAGGCGGAACCAACAATGGACACGCCCCGTCTGGATCTCCGGCGTTGACAGCACCTGGAGCCCCAGGTTCGGGGGTTCAGCATCGAAGCCAAGACGACGCAATGGTCAGGTAAGTCGTGTGAGCTCTTGAGAAGGGGATCTTCAAGCTGATGCCTTCTAGCTATTCTAGTATACCTCTTGGAAGCATGACCATGCGCTATACCGAAAAGGCCTGGGAGAAGTTTATATTCATTCCTTCTCAATATTGAAGCTTGCTGAAAAACAATGTATAGGTGTACCCTATAACTTGAAAACGGACTTGCCCTACCTTTAGGGCTAAAAGTATCTTTTAAATTATGAAAGAAATTAACGATCTTCTATCTATCAGCCATAAAGTGAATCAAATATGTATAAGATTCATTTACGTTAACCATTGGGTCTAGGATACGCACTTGTTCAAAACTGCTGTAACAGAATCGTTAGTTCGCTTCGTGACGTTGCACTTCGTTTTTCTATTGAGTCTGAATACTTACGTTCACCGAAATTTCTTCCGAAAGTCATGGAAAAATTCAATTTTTGGCGCTGTCCTCAGGATGTCCTTTTTTGAATTGTTCTAATGAATTATCTGAACAGGTCAAGTGGAAAACGCACATCTAACTGCAGTGATTGCATAACGTCATAAAGTGTATTTATTGGGTGAGAGATCTCACATATATATCGAACGTGTGGTTATTCAAACTTAGTGGCATGTATCTTTTTATATGAAAACGGACTTACCCAGGCATGAAGCTTTCATTGTAAACCTGTCTCGTGAGGCTAAACCTATTTACACCTGCATTAGCGGGAACTCCTAATTATGGAAAGATGATTTCGTCTTTTCTGATAGATAATACACATATATTTATGGCAAACAGTTAAGAATCATTAATTTTAGAGAACGTGAAACTTTTCTGACTAGTGGAAATCTTAGTTTGACATCCTATGAGATATGAATATCTCATTATAAAGTACAGTATAAAGTTATGAACAACTTTACGATTCATATATGAGAGTAATATACCTTATGCCCTACCCAAATTTTTACAAGATCGTTCTTTGATTTTTAACTAATGATTTTCAATGTTTTCCCATCTCTCTTGTTATCTCTGTTGCGTTGCAGCTATTTCTTTCAGCGATCTGAGACCGACTTTCAGTCGTACGCAAAACATTCACGGTGGGTACTCGGAGATGGCACCGACGGAATGGGTACAGGAGGTGCTGGTGGCGACCCAACCGCCGAATTGGAAAGCGAATTTCAGGCGTTGGCTCTTGAGACCTCCGCCGGTCCCCAGATGATTGGTCCTAGCTCTGCCAAGAAGCTCTGGGCTCTCGACTCAGTGTCTCCTGAGCAGGGCGGGCCTGTAGGAGGTGTCGGCCAGAAACAACTGGCGGATGAAGCTAGCAAGGGCGCCGGAGGTTGTGGTGGAGGTATCTTTGTTGATCAATGGCGCGATCCAACGTGGAGCGGTGGCTATTCGCAACCAACAGGGCCTGCTGGTCCCGATGGTACACACGGACAACCGCCTGTCCTAAGTCCACGCCTGAGCGAGAAGATGGTCGAATACGTTCTTGGCGGCTCGAGTCCGACGGCCATGGGCCTGAAGAAAGCCATGGCGGGAAAGGAGCCAGCTGGGGTTAAAAAACATGGCGTTGGAGTCGCAGTAGGTGTGGCAGGTCAGCTGGCCAATGGCACACTCACCCATGACGACTTCGGAACGGCCGGCGACGAATCTTTGGACAAGAAGACTGCCGGTACCATAAGAGGAGCCCCTTTTGATATGGCGATGGCCACGGGACCTCAACCGCCATTGGGTTTTCCGGATTACGCTGCACATGCAGCTGGTATGAATGGACACAATCTGATGAGTGCACTTGATGCACCAAGTGGGATGTTGCCAGATTATTCGACGGGAGCGCCGAATGGACCAAATTCACAACAAGCCCTTGGCTACCTACATGGTGGCGGGCAGAGACAACAGCAGCAACCTCCACAAGGTATGTAGTATGACAGGACAGTTAGCACCGCGAGAACAATAGTATCTTAGCTTTCAAGAAAGAATATTGACACGTTTATGGTACGGTAATTGTTGTCAATTCATTAGTGTCATGTGATCCATGAACATTCGCAATTTTATCTTAAATGTTTCTTTCTTTAGACAATAAGACACTGGTTACCGACTTCTTATCGTAATATATGAATCCTTTCTATCTCGTTCTATATGTATATGTCGTCATGGGAACGTTGCAGGGACAGGCGGACATATGGTGGCTCACATGATGGCAGGTCAACAGCCTCCGCCACATGCGCATCCTCAAGCACAGTTTCCACCACATCACCCTGCGCAGCACGGGCATGCGGGTCATGCTGGTCACCCGCGGAATCCATACATCACCGCAGCAATCAATCAGGACCCGTACGCAACGGCTATGGGTCTTGTATCACCCGCTGCTATGCCACTGCCCGCGCAGTACTACGGAATGCCACCTTGGGGCATGTACCAACCGCCTGGACCGAATCCTGGCCCACCGGGGCCACCCGGACCGCCGGCAGTCGGTGCTGGGGGAACCGGGCCCCACGGTCCACACCCTCAGCACATGGCGGCCCAGCGGCCGATCACGCCAGGAGCTGTCAACGGCGAAGGTCCACCAGGTGGTCCGGGCAGTTATGGTGGGCCTATGATGGGCGGTTATTACGATAATGTTAGTAACGTTATGATGGGCCGTGGTGTTGGAATGGCTGGTCCGCCGGGACCGGGTGGACCGCACGGTCACCCACATGGTCACCCACATGGACATCCACAGGCTGGTGTTAGGCTGCTGCAACCGCCAAGTGGTCATATGGTGAACATGGTCAATGGTCCACGTGGACCTCATGGCCATCCTGGCAGCCAGCAGATGCAGCTTAACCAGGCCGGAGGACAAGGTCAGCCCGGGTCGGGAGGCGACAGCCTGGGTGGTGGCGCCGTAGGTGTAGGCGGACAGTCCGGTGGAGGCAGTTCTTTATTTTCGGGTGGCGCAGCTGGCGCGTCCGGCCCATCTTTGGCCGCAAGCGCTCTTGGCAATTCGCTCAATCCGATGGGAAATCTAAGTAGCGCCTCGTTTGGCAGCAACTTTGGGTCCAACAGCGGGGGTCAAAATACCTCAGGCATGGCTGGACTGGGACCAATCGGTAGCAACCCCATGGGACCCATTGGCACCGGGCTGGACTCACAGCAACAACAACACCATCCTGGTGCTCGAAGAGAGTCGTTTGATCGAAGGGATTTTGGTAATCAGGTTGGTGTTGTTTCATCGTATAAACACTGTTTGTGTGTGTTCGTGTGGGGTGTGTGATGTAGCATATTATTAACTTCGATATGCGTTTGGTCACATCATCTGTTGAATGACATTTTTTTTATTTATAAGCTCGATTAAAAAACATGGTTTTCTCTCAATTACTAACTAATAATGACATTCATGGCTTCTCTAGTGTTTTACTACGCTGACGACGTGATTAATCAACTAACCCCTCTCCGCTTTCACTAACCTCTTACTAAGTGTTAAACACTCGACGGATGAACATGTTGGTTCAGTCGCTTCTGTTCCAGGGAGGACAGCGGTCGTTTGGCGAACCATTCGGACCAGTGGGGAAGTCGCAGCTTTATAATCCACTGGGACTAGTAGGCCCGCCGACGCAAAGCCTTACGCCCCCGCTGTCGGGGCTCAACGGTTCGTCGTCTAACCTCAGCCTAGGACCCACTTTGGCCTCCCGACTTGTGTCAGGTCCCGCTGGGCCTGGCCAGGGCGATAAATTTCCCACGATGCGTAACGGTGGCCTGGGTATGGCTGGCTTCGGACAGGCAGGAGGTTCAAACCTGTTCCCTTCGCATAACAGTAGCCATCCCAATGTCGGCATGCAGCGAAAGTGAGTTTGACTTGCCACCTAGTAAAACATGCAGTATACTCATAGGAGAATATATTAATGTTTTCTGTGATAGGTGTCTTACAACAACTAACATCTCGCTAAAACCCTGGCTAATGACTAAGAGCGTTCTGACAAACTAAATACGCTTCCTATAAGTTGATTTCTTTCGTATCTATTAAAAAACCAGGAGAAACTGAATCAAAAATTCTTTCGTATCTATTAAAAAACCAGGAGAAACTGAATCAAAAATATATACTCAACAATAAGTCATTAACAGCTTAGATAAAAAAAACAAAAAAAGGCTTATATATTTGGCATTCTTCGCCTATTTGGGGCGAGTTATTATAATTGGTTGCTATTTTCTCTCATAGTGGCGTGCTTGAAAAGAACACCGGCCGGTCACGTCTGCTGGAAGATTTCCGCAACAACCGCTACCCAAACCTTCAGCTGCGTGATCTGCTCAATCATATCGTCGAGTTCTCGCAGGATCAGCATGGCTCACGCTTCATTCAACAAAAACTCGAACGTGCCACTCTGGCTGAAAAACAGCTCGTATTTAATGAGATCATCAATTCGGCCTACTCACTTATGACGGACGTATTTGGAAATTACGTTATTCAAAAGTTCTTCGAATTCGGTACTCCCGAGCAAAAACAGGCGTTGGCGGCACGTGTCAAGGGCCACGTTCTTCCACTGGCGTTGCAGATGTACGGTTGTCGGGTAATCCAGAAGGCCTTAGAGAGTATTCCATCTGAACAGCAGAAGGACATTGTTAAAGAGCTTGATGGACATGTACTCAAATGCGTCAAAGACCAGAATGGTAATCATGTTGTTCAGAAATGCATTGAATGTGTGGAACCGCTTGCGCTCCAGTTCATTATTGACGCGTTCCAGGTGAGCACCAAGTAATTATGGTATATATAACAACTAATCTTTAAGAATCAAAGTAATATTAACAAAAACAAATGTAGTATAATCATGTAACGTCACTGCCTAAAAAATTCCGATAGCATAGATTTTGATTATATTGCGCCTTATAATAAAACCTCGACTTGAAAGAATTATTTCTTGAGCCATTACATTATTTCCTACATGGGAGCATTTTCCTTAGCACGAGGTACTACATATATGCGCTAGTTAAATCTGACTACGTCTAATTCTCTTTCTCGCTTTCTCTGTGTGTATAACCTATGTCCTGGCTATTGCTGGTATTCACCCGTGAAATAGGGTCAAGTGTTTGCATTGTCAACGCACCCTTATGGCTGTCGCGTGATCCAGCGAATTCTGGAACACTGCACGGCCGACCAGACATCGCCCATTCTTGAGGAGCTTCATCAGCACACGGAACAGCTCGTGCAGGACCAGTATGGCAATTACGTGATTCAGCACGTGCTGGAACACGGTCGTGCCGACGACAAGAACCAAATCGTCGGAGCGGCTCGCGGCAAGGTGCTTGCCCTCTCTCAGCACAAATTCGCCTCAAACGTCGTTGAAAAGTGTGTGACGCACGCGTCACGACAGGATCGTGTCCTTCTCATCGAAGAGGTTTGCTCATTCCTCGATGGCAGTGCCCTCTACACGATGATCAAAGACCAATATGCTAACTATGTTGTCCAGCGAATGATTGAGGTCGCTGAGCCACCGCAGCGTAAGCTGCTTTTGCAAAAGATCCGCCCGCATATGGCATCGCTGCGCAAGTACACTTATGGCAAGCATATACTTGGCAAGCTCGAGAAGTACCTCATGAAGGGCGGACAGGGAGGTCAGGGAGGTGCCGCGGGACTCGGCGCTATGGACCCGCACAATACACCGTAAATAATTATACCCGTAGTAGTCGTAGTAGCAATAGTCGTCGCAAGAAATCTGCTGTGGACACAAACGGATTGACATGGACGGGTGGACATAGTGATGAGTGTTGAACAGCGATGGCACCGGCAATGGAGGTTAGAAATGAAGATCAAACCCTACGAAGTGAGAGGCGAAGCTAGAGGTGAGGCAGCTGGTTACATCAATACGGAGACAGCGATATAGAATTACTAATTATATGGACGATTTATAGTTGGTTGACCCTGGATCGTGGCAGAGCAGAACATGTATGGAGCATCACGAGTGCGTGAGATGGCAACAAAAAGAAAAGGTTAAATGATGAAGATGAAAATCAAACGACTACGATATGATCGACACGGACAACTATATAGAATGTACCGATAGGTTGCGACGCCTATAGAAATCTAGGCAAACACACCATTAACAAAACTACCACAACAATAGCATCAAACAGAAAAGCCTCAGCTTAAAAACGCAAAAATAACTTATTGTCACCAATACAACTGAGCTACATATTGAATTGAATGATAAACTGACACACATAAGAACACATGATCATTACATATAAGAAATAAATTCGGTGAGGCAACAGCATTAGAGGAACAGATCCACAAGCAGCAGATCCGTAGCAGTTTAACGAATGCAAACAACACGAAGCTGCAAACAAACACTGTATCGTACATACGTTATTATTATTACAGAAGGGAATAAGAGGTTTAGTAGCTACACGACGCACACATTCACTTGAATACAGGGCGAGATGTTGTAATTTAACAATGATAATTGATTATGATAATGGTTTTGCGGAAAAAAAAAAGAACAGATTACTGTCGAAGACATGTAGACAATTGTATGCGAGTAGGAGAAATACAATGGGGTGTCTGCGTTGAACATATGGGAAGATGAAATTCTACTCACTTCAGTTTATTGATGACGCTGCTAACGGTTGCTGCAAAAGATTAATAGTAAGGGCTAAAGAATGGAAATATTCATGTTATTTCATACGAATGGAACTCCTAGGACTGATGTAATGGGAGGATCCAAATGGATCGATCTTACAGGAGTTGAGCGCCGCTCCACGATTAGCTGACTTGGCGCATTTCGCCATGTTAACGATAACGAATAGGAGGGTCGAATGGGGGCATCTTATAATTAGTAGCAGCATTATTAGGTGAGAAAACGATGAATGTTAAGAACGTGAAAACTTAATTTTTCGCGAAAGTTGCAGGAGGAACCACTACACTTTTGCAAGTAGCAAAAGTAGGTTTTGAATAGATTAACTATGGGGGTCTGCTTGAAGCCCGAGAAAATGCACTTAATTCGCTAGATGAGTCTAGATCGAGAGCACGAAACAACATGCATGATCAGTAATATTTGAAACATTATGGAATGTTAGCTTATTTTCGGGGGGATAAGGTTTCAAGAATAGTCAACTGATTTCAGAGAACGGGTAAAAGAACGCTCCTAATAGACCGACGCAAATAACAAATATAAACGACGAAAAGGAATACAGTGTAGAACCGCAGAATAGATCAGCGTGAAGTTATATCATTGGGAGCCAAAGAGGTTAAATGGGAAAGGTGTCTTCCCTGGGAAATTAGTAGCTTTTTACCGAAAAGGACGTAACAGATTACACGACAATAAGTGAGGAAAAAAATCTTTGATTTAAGGTCGTCGCGAGGTACAAGAAAGCTGGGAAGAGCCCTAATTAAGAAAACATGTTAATTCCTACTATTTACATGCTAACATGTTCTTACATGTTAACTATGGCTATTTGTATTTAGCATAAACAAAAAAAAACAATAGATCCACACGAAAATATAACTGATGGATATACAGGAGGATTGACCCACCGCGTATCACATGCACTGCTCTCCCAAAATACCTTCACCCCCCTCGCTTGCTTCCCAATAATGATTTTTCAATTAATAGATCACGCGATTGATGTCAAATGATTGGTTGGTTCGAATCATTGGTTCCGAGCATCGACTTACGAAAATCGACGAAAGCAGATGAACAAAAGGAATTAGCTCTCGTTTTGTACCGGACTCCTCAGATGACAGCGGGCGTAATGTGATTTCGTGACGATATAGCGTTTCTTTGGCGAATAGACCGAAAAAAATGTGGATTTTGGATAGCGCATGACGCGTGTGATGATGAATGTTAATGATGAATGTGTAACGTCATGGTAATAATAACAGTAATAAGATTAATACTGGATAATAAGCAAACAATACATAATACTGTGTCTCGTTGTCTCGTGCTGCCCCAACGACAACCGCGCCCAGATGCGGCAACACATTGGCTATTTGCCGACGCAGCGACCCAGAAGGCCCAGCAACGAGAGCGACCGTAAGAATACGAAGTTGTCCCCCGCAGGCGCAAAATGATTGAAAGAAAGCTTAGAACGAGTCGGAAAAGACAGTTAATTTCTGTCAACTTATATTATGAAAAATATGAAGGAAAACCCGGTTTGTCGTCGAATATGTTTGTCACAACCTCTGTCATGCATAGAGACCGCTTGGTGATTATTATATATATATATGGCGACATCCGTTCCAACAAACGAACAGTGATGACGGATAACACCGCTTGGCGACAATACCAGCAAAAAGCAAATACGATATGTGACAACGTACAACAGCATGGAGAACGAACGAGATATAGTAACTAATATGGTAAATAATAATGAAACGGTTGATGATGATTATACTGAAGTGATATGGATCGACGAAAAATGCCAACGATACCTATAACGAAGGAATACACAATATTCTAGACAACAGTAATACTAAGTAATAACTGCCAAGGTTAAAAAGCATAACGCCTGGATTTGCTGGAGAACAGCTCTGGCACGCGCACAGATAAATATAACATCAGTTTCATTATTATCAACGATAACGGAACATCAGCAGAAACAGCCTAAATAACAATAACTACCCCCCATTGCGAGCTCGTCAAGGGAACATGGCGTACCTATTGAGCTCTAGATGTTGCACAGAACAGTTATTACTTGTAGCAGTGACGCCGCACTGCTGTTTAAATACTACACTGCTATTAGTACGCGTACAGATTACATTATAGATTTTGTCACTATATGCCCTTTCCTGTGCTGTTATGTAAGTACATAAGAAAATCTTGTATTTCTTTACTTGATAATTATTACAATGATATATCATTGTTATTATTACTGAATGAGATAATCTAAGGATCGTGGCCTCCACATGCGCATCGTACAGAAACTGACACACAAACACGTAGAACATTCAAGGACATCTACAAAGCTATGGGTAAAGCGTACTAGACAAAATGTGTCCACACTGAAACATAATTATGCAATCAAGCCACAGACAAACAAAAGGCCGCACAGATACGATATCCAAAACACAGGCTTACAGATGTCGAAGATGTAAATAACCGAAACAATCCCACACTCACGATGAAAACATCATCATGAAGCGGGGATAACGGAAAAAAAAGAAACATTTATTTCAACAAACAGATCGCCATTGAATCATGTTAACATAAATTCAGTTGGTTGACAATTCTGTTATCTAATGACAGTAAGTTATTGTCGAAAATTAACATTATCAAAGGGCCTATAGTAATATTCGCCGTTAAGCACGGGACAGTGCCGAAATTTCTAATTTTAATTTATTTTTTACCTCATCAAAACAACACATTGATCGTTCAGTTTATCGATTGATCATCGGCCTTTGCAACCTCGATATCGAATCAACTCGATTGTGATATAGAAAAAACATCATGAATATATGTATGAATTTTGAGTTAGTTTCCAAGATGATCTGTTTCGAGTCGATTTGGACAATGCCTGTGTTTGCCGATTCGTCATTTTCGATCGATAATCGGTGACCATCAATGGATGGACTGATTGATTAACGTCTTTTTTTCCTATCAATGTTACAAGCGTTTATGCGTAGTTACGCACGAAAAGTATTTCAATGAATCAATGGCTTTCGATTTGGTTCGCATACCATTAGTACAGAACAGTGCGTCCTTCGCTTCCATGCAGCCCGCCCCGGTTCAACTGAATTAGAGAGCGAGAGAGAGAGAGAGCGAGAGCGAGAGAGAGAGCGCGCGCGCGCGCGTAGAGAGGGAGAGGGAGAGAGAGGGAGGGAGGGAGGGAGATGTGGAGAAAGAGGGGGATAGAGAGGGGGAGGGGAGAGGGTAATAAAAACTCTAGTAGTATAAGTATTCAATATTGTAGACATAGTTGGTCAAAAAGCTCGCAGTTTTATACAACAACAAATCAATGTTATAGATGTCGCAACTGGAATCTGCTATTTTGTCTCCCATCATTTTGACTTGACAGCGAAATTGGTGTTCCCGAAAATTCGAATTGTCGACTTATTAATGAAATGTGATCTCATAATCAATTTCGAACTTTGTCTAGCCTTGGCTATTATCGGATGTTAATTTAAGCGTTTTATAGGCACTTCAAAAACACATAACAGGCTAAATAGGTGCACGGCCTTCAGAGCGCCCATCAAATGCTCGATCGTTTTATCTATACGTAACAATGTGCCTATAACTGCGATATGCGTGGACGTCTAAGAAAACACGAACGTTGTCACCAGTTCAGAGTAGTTGTAGAATAGATAATGTTTGTGTAGAATGCATACAGGCTCAGTGGTTTCAACTGTCGTTTCGATCGAATGCCATTTATCGATTATCTCTCAGTCAGTTTCTGGTAGTTAAAGATGAGCCATATCGTAAGCGGGCTGAACACGAGACAAGAGTTTAACGATGGAATGGTTAGTTATTTTCTACGAATGCAAGACTAGCAGAGCAAACAATAATGTGTGAAGAGACAAGTGAATTTCCTACATAAATTAACATATGGTAGCAGCTCCGTGGTAGTAACCTTGACCTTGCTGATGCTTTTTTTTTAATAAAAAAAATAATGACAATAATGATAATAATAATAATAACGAAATAGATATGTTGCAGCCGCACCGATATCAACCGCCACCTGTAATGACGATACCAGCATGTAAATTGTAAATAAACGTTTTGTACAGTTTTAGACGAGAGGAACAACGGGCGAGTAAGTTGCGACCGTGCGAATCCGAAAAAAAATGCAATCAATGACCTAATGATGATTGACTGTCGTTTGAATTCTGGTGACTCTGGTGTAATTAGTCCTGTAATTATATTATCACTACGACTACTACTATCAGATGTATATGCATGATAATGACAATATGAGGCTGATATGAGGCTAATCGTGATAACGATGATATGATAACAATTAATAAAACGATGACTGTTATAACGATTCATATATGACAAAGCAGCATTCAAAACAAAACAAATGGGCGATGAACGCAATACGCAATAATGGTGCGATGTTGGACGTCGGTTAACAGGAGGTGGAAAAAGATTTATAACGAGTAAACTACCGACACGGCCACATATATGGCAGTAGCTAAAAGATGGCTGCTTTTTGTCTTGTGTACGAAACTATGAAATACCCTGTTGATGCTGGACTGGACTGGACTATCTTACAACTCAGTACCAGGTAGAGGGTGTAGAAGAAGTTCATGGTAAACGGTGATGGCAGAACACCGAAATCGTCGCGTATTCGGCGGCTTTCTCGAATTGAGGGCCCGTCGACTTTTCGATTATTCATGCCATTATTGTATGTATCCTGGTATTGTTTGTATTATTGTTATTATCCTTATGCTGTCATCGGAAGAGGCGTAGCAGTGAATGCGGCGGGTTGCACATATTCATCACGCAGACGAGCTCTCAATCAGTCAAAACTACAGACGGTGGCAAAGCACAAAGTCAAATGCGGGGACGCCAATGTGATGTGAATAAATCGAGGTCCACGCAGCGTGAAAAAATTTGGCGACACGACACCCTAATATTCAGATAAAATAAACACTGAGAATAACAAGTACTATACATCTTAAACGACAACAAAAGTTACACACAAAAGCAAATATCAACAGACAAAACCTCAATTGCGAAGCAACATGTAAATTCTATAAATATATATATATAAATATGTATTTGAAGGCCGAATGATTTATCTGGAGGGGGAACTCCCCCAACGTTGTATTAAATGTGTGTATTGCAAACTTGATAGAAATGGGGAAAACGTACAGAGGTCTGCACAGAGAAAATATTTTCATAGACAAGAATGCCTGAAATAGAAAGAGGTTCACAAAGAAAAAAAAAAGGTATAACTGTCATGTAAAATAAAATATTACCGGTTATTACTTCCTCAATTGTAAGCAAAAGCTGCAACCTAAGTAAAATGGATTATTCGATTATCAGAAACATGAATTGCCTGGAAAATGATAAAACGAAGAGTGATTTTGCTAGCTGCGGGAGGGCACCTATGCGAAGTTGGGGATTGGCTGGAAACTCTTAGGCGCGTTGTTAAGCATTGAGCGAACACCGAAGTACAAGCGAAGTGATATATTGGAGGCCAAGACGATACGTTTACTCGGACAAGCGTAAAATTAGAAGAAAAATACTTAACCGATAAGGGTGGTACCAGATTTGGTCAAGCTGGCGTGTAACCAGGTTGCGGGACTAATTATAGACAGCCTTCAGCGAAGAGAATGACGCAACGTAAATAAAGGTGTGGGAGAGGGGTCGTCCGGCACAATGTGTAAGTGTTTGTTTAACATTAGTGATAATAGAAACGATTAGTGATCACTGTATTATAGTAGATATATTTGAGGGATTTGTGAAATGAGAACCGCCCACCCCTATAGCGGATGGGTTATCGACGGCAGAACGATAAACGCGAACGAACGATAACATTAAATAAACGAGCTACTATATATACCAGTTAGCTTCATTCAGCACATAGCAAAAAGAACAGGACACCTCAGCGATAACGAGACAAAGACAACAACTCTGGTCGAAGCAAATGCGGGAACTCTGGCGCGGTTGTCAGGGCAAAGTGCTGTCTCTATCAATATACATATAATATACTATGACATTTAAGCTATATATATATATATATATATATATATATATATATATATATATATGTATATACATATATATATAAGATATACATACGTGCATCCACGTGAATAACAACAACATGAAATCGTTGCATGACCAACAACAAGTAGGCAACAACCGATGCGTGTAGTGACAGCAGGTAAATAGCGAAAATACTCAACCGGCACAAATAAATATTAAGAAAAATCAGAGTAATGCCAGGATAATAACAATATATCAGTGATATTCAGATTATCCATAATTTGATGAAAATTTGGGGTAGGTTAGAGAAAAAATACAAAAATATGGCAAAAAAGAGAAAATGGGACAAAAAATCAAATAAAAATAAATACGCCGAAGGTCGCTAACGCAACCCTGAAGTT